AGAACAAGCCTGGGGAGCTGTACGTGCGAGGGGGGGGCCTGTTGATGGGGTACAAGGGCCGGACTGACGCCAAAGACACGCATGGTTGGTTCCGCACCGGGGACGTGGCTTATGTGAGAGACGGGATCTACTACATCCACGGCCGCACGAAGGAGCTGATCAAGGTTCGAGGGTAAGATCTTTTCTCTTCCTCTTTGCCTCGCTATTTTCCTCACGATCCTAACCCAAACTGGAACTAGATGGCAAGTCGCGCCGGCCGAACTCGAGGCAATCCTGCTCCGGCACCCGGGCATCGAGGATGCGGCGGTAATCGGGGTTACATCGCACGACGGCAGCACCGAGCTCCCGCGCGCCTTCATCGTGCGGGCGAAGAATGCCGCCGGCCACCGGCTGACGGCGGAGGAGGCGTACTCGTTCACGCGGCCGCAGTTGGTCAGCTACAAGGCGCTGGACGGGGGCATCCTCTTCGTGGAGGAGATCCCGCGCACGGCGAGTGGGAAGATCCAGCGGTTCAAGCTGGCGCAGATGAACACTTATCGCGAGATTGTCAGTTCGCTGCTGACGCGCTTCAAGGGCGCTAGTCTCCAGTCGGTCGGGATCATGCATAAGGGCCGCATTACGGTTTGATTGTTGGGGGGGCTGGGCCGCAGGACGGTTTTTCTTGGGGTCATGTGCAGTACCCCTCTCCCTTTTGTTGGTGGGTTTGGCGTTTGCGAGTTGTATTCTGGACGGGGAATGGGTTGAGGCGTTCTTTGGGATTGCACGAAGTTACTATATCCGATACTACTTGTATACATTGAGGGGTAGCAACCTTGTTGTCATGCTATACACAGACCTGGCAATTCAGCAATCTAACTTATCACAAAATATCTACGAAACAAGTGTATTAGTAGCTTGTTGTTGTCACGACGGCTGCTTAGCGTTGATTCGCGAGAGTCGTGAAATAAGCATACCGAATTTCCGCTTGATGTTACACAGTTACACAAAGGGATTTGGTTTGGGGTTGCACCGCAGAATAACTCAGTGAAGGCACGCACCAGCTGTCATGCCTCGTATCTCGTAACCGGAAGTGATATACAGGTGCTTACTCGCTTGGCGTGCGTCCGGGCCGCTGTCAAGGAAGGTGGGTTGTTAGGCATGCGCAGGTGCATATCTTACCTACATCCACTAAGCGGGAGGGCGAGGGCGAGGGGGATAAGCTTAGAGGTGATTCAGGTACAGTACTGTACATGCATGGGTTACTCACTGGGTGGGAATGAAATCTGGGTCCTGGCTGCACAGCACGGCTCCGAAGGCTTTTCTCTTTGGAGTTGGAGGTTCTGGATTTGGATTATTGTATTGCACTGGACATACCACAGACTGAAGAAGAATCGCTGGTCTGGGAAGGGTTCATCTACTCAGTAGGTAGGTAGGTAGGAGCATTATTTACGAATAGGTAATCGAGTCCAAGTCTGGCAGCCAGGGTGGTATCAGTCGTTGACATGACATGAGATGACATTCGCCGCTTCTGGCTCTTGTTCTGGTTCCAGGCTTGCATGCACATCCCTATCGGACTGTACCATGTAACAAGAACTGGAATTACCCCACAAGCTGCTCTGCTCTCTCTGCCTCTGCTTACAGATATTCCTTGCTTAGTTGCTGACTGGTGGATCGATTCCCTGAACTAATTGACCGGCTGGTAGGTGAGCTAAGTGATGACCCAAGCAGCGTCGCAAACTGTTTGCTTCGTTTTGATTACCCAGGGTTTTGTTTGCCACTGCAGAAAGGGGTTGCTTTTTTCTTTTGTGCCTGATGGCACAGGAGAACCAGGCTGGTTTGCAATCTTTACATCTTGATCCCCTTCCCCTTGCAGAATGTGATGTTTGTGTCCTGAGATGGAAGGATGAGGGGGAAGAGGGGGGGGGTGGGTGGGTGTTGGTGTTGCTTATCGTGCTGCACGTGGTGCCTTCAGGTCTAGTCTAGAGGACTGGGAGGCTAGGAGTCAGTCTCTACTACTCTACTCCAGTCTAAGAGGTAGTCAACAGTTAGCGTGAGGTCAAGATCATAGATAGATATCAGTGGATGCGAGGCTGGAATAGGTGGGAGGGAGCCCTTTTCGACCGCAGGGACTCCGTACTCGGTCCAAAGAACTGGAGGTCTCGGTGTGCTCAAGGGTGGTCCAATCAGATCCAAAGCGCTGAAAACAGATAATTAACCTAGTAGATTATCTAGACGCATAGAATCCAGGTGGTCTCCTGGTCAGACCGGGACGAACCGCTTGGACCTCACGAACTGCTTGCTAAGGGTACTCTATCGTGTTGGACGAAGTAGGGCTGGCTATTGTCACTGACCACAGCCGAAGCAATAATCATCCAGTTCTGCAGCGGAGAATTTCAGCCAGATCACCCTCATAAACAATAGTAGATCGGAAATCATTGTCCAGGCCAATGGATATTGTCCGAGCCAGAGAATCGGCTCAGCTGAAAACACCCCAATTGTGTGGAAGGCGCAATGGGGGAGAGTTGATAGTGAAGGTGTCGACTACAGGACTACTAACTAGTGCCCCAATAGTTCGTGTCTAGTTCGGCCACTACCACCTCATCTAGAAGCGTTCTCTTCTTGCGCCACAGCCCACAGTCCACAGTCCACAGTCCACAGCCCACAGCCCACAACCCACGTCGTGCCACAGCGGAGAAGACAGCTAGCTGATCCTTCGTCCTGCGTCCAGTTCGAACCTCTTCGGCCTCCTCGTACCTCGTTCCTTCGATCCTGCGATCCCGGTGGGCGGCGGGCGTCGTCGGCTAAATGGAACGAACTCTGGGAAATTCTGGGAAACACATGGCGATGGATGGCGATGGCGATGGCGATGGCAAGGAGACTAACTACAGCCACTGGTTCTTAGTGCCTTGAATCCAGCAGCCAACCAGCCAGCCAGCCCAGATTCTCGCGGTTCAACTAATCCGGATAATTGAATTGTCTCATCTCGAAGCGGCCGCATTCGGAAGGTCACATACGCTGACTACCTAGATAGTTATCTGATGACTGGCAATCTCTCCGCTGTCATCTTGCTGCACCCTTTCTTTTTGTCCTAGTTCTTTTTCTTGAATCATTTTCTTTTGACTATTCTTTCTTTTTTTTTCCGTCTTTTTGCTTTTGTCGGATCTTCGCGCCCGCCCTTCCGCCAGCCTCTCAACCACACCCTCCCGGCTCCAGATGCCATCATGTTCGGCGCCTCCCACTAAACAAAAACAAAAACAAATTCCCTCCCCTCCGCAATCCTGCTCGCGAGCCTGTAGTCTGACCTCGACCTCCTGCCTCTTGCCACTCGGAAGGCAAAGCCCAACGCGCTGGATCCGAATTCCAAACCAACTTGTTCCAAACCAACTTATCCGGTTTTGGGATCCAGCTCCGTAGGCGAACGCCAGTGTCCATGCAGCGTAAAGTCATAGCTTGCTCGAGGATCCCGCCCAACAATCACCCAGCGTAATGATTGCCCTCGCCCGCTGATCAGCCTTGTCGTATGGGGACCGATCATCCCCTCCGTCCGGGCGCTAACTTCCACTCTACTCACGCAGGCGATAGCATTCGAGTTCGCTCGACTGTGCAGGTGTACAGTTAGTGCAGTGTGGTGCGGTGCATCCATGCATACCTGCAACTGTGTAGTCTATGTATGTCAGAGCCCTTGCTCGCGAAATCTGACCCTGCATCTGACAGTTGACAAACTCCAGTGCCAATCAGTGACGGGTAACATCAGCACTGAAAAGCTCCAGCTTGTCACTAAGCTACATAGTACGTCCATGCTCCGGCCCCCGGGTCAAACGGTAAGTCGTAAGTCGATAGTTGTGCTGCACCGTATCATCATCATCCCCGGCGAATTGGGGAGAGGTCTTGCCCTCGGGGTTGGTCGCTCACGCCGATGCGACTGCCTGAACTCCCCTCCGTTCGATTCGAGTGCCCCTGTTTTCGTGATGCCGGTCCTGTCTGCCCCTACGGACTAATGCACCACCCCTGTCGATTGCTACTGGCTCAACGCTGCACCTGCTCGAGTTGCGCAACGGCTTTCTGTGGCGCGGCAATGCCACGTCAACACGCCTGTAAGGGAAATGGGGCGAGAGGCGCATCGTTTAGCGAACGCTCATCCGAACAGCCTGGAGGCGTGGCTCGCCAACCGTCTCTGTTCTGCCATGCCACGAGCAAAGACTTCGGGTAGGTAGGTACCTGTAGGTCCTGCAACCGTGACCTTGGCGCAGCTTGGGCAGGGCCCAATGCCTAATGCTGTAAGTCAATTTCGGGTTTGGGCGCTTTCGCAATCGTTCGCTGCTGTCCTACTCTTCTTTATTTTTTTTCCCTCCGAAGGGACGGATCTCATTAGTCGCTTTGTATCTCAACTAGCTCGAAGCGAAGTTACCCTAAGCTCGTCGGCCGGATCAAACCCCACCGTTGCCTTCACATGTCATCGTATGCTGGGTACAGGACAAGAGCGATCCCATTGGCGGATTTATGTAGGATGAAGCTCGGTTCAGATTGCTATCAATCCTGCACCCTCGATAATGGGTGCACTGTGACACAGTGTGCCGTGCTGGGATGACGTGCAAACCGATGTCGTACAACCCTCGCATAGCGCGCTTACTCCGTATGCAGACCGTGTAGACGAGCAGAGGGTGGTCGAGTATCTGCAACCACGACGTTGCGGGCTCCATGCTTATCACGCATGGCAAAGGAGCTCAACCCCTGCATCGTGACATGCGCCATCTGAGATGCATATCGTCCTGGCTGTTGTCAAGAAACTGCTGCACAAGCGACGACTGGCTCGTTGCGGTGCGGTGACCAAGACTGCCCGATGCCTTGGAAGTGTCTCGTCCCAGGATATGGATCCTTCATGCGGCGAGGAGATGCACCCCTCCTTTCCACATCCTACGAGATGGGGGATGAGTGACGGAGTCCACTTCCCTTGGAACTGTAGACGGACGAGCAACAGCCCGCCCGCTCTCGCTCACTCACTCACAACCAGCCCATCTAGATCAGAGAATCCCATAGCCCATCCACCAGACCCCCCAAACCAACGGGCCCAGCGCCCCCAGCACAGCAGGTCCAAAGGACATCTCCAACACCCCCCAAATCCACATAGTTCCAAAAGCCGGCGCCTGCTTCATGACAGCGTAGTAGGGGTCCTCGTTGGTCATGACCATCAACCTGCACCCCAGAAAGACCGTCAGCGGGAGAAAGACGACGGTGCGTAGACTCGGCGGGAAGAGGAGGCGGCGCAAAAACGCCCACGACCGCTTCTCCCGGTCCCACGGCAAGAGTGAGAGCGTTTCTTCTCCCGGCCTGTTCGTCGCCCCAATGAAGGAGACAATATGCCCGTGCGCCAGGTGGATCAACAGCGTCAGCATGGGGAGGGCCACGAGGGCGGATTCGCGGACGAGTTTCTCCAGCTCGATCTCCTGCGCGTACTGATGGGCGGCCAGGTAGGCGAGCGTCAGATGGAGGGTCGTCAGCGGCACCGCGAGGAGCAGCGTGTCGATGACGGGGGGGATTGGATGTTCGAGCTTTTCTTCCTCCTCGTCCTCCTCGTCCTCGCTAGAGATCTCGTTCTCGCCTCCCTCCGTGTTCGGCTGTTGTTGTTGCTGCCGCCGCCGCGACTTCTCCGCCCGCTTCATCGCTTTCTTCTTCGTCTCGCTCGAGAGACTCGCCTCGTCGACGGCCGAGATCTCCCCCGTCCGCGGGTCGACGGTCACGAACTGTGTCTGCGTGCCTGCACCTGCACCCCCGTTGGGGCTGGAGAGCTGCCCCAGTAGTTCCCCCTGTCGCTCGGCGATGATATCCACCAGGGTTTTGCCGGTCGGGTTGGTGGGATTTGTTGGTGGATGGGCGAGCGGGACGGAGGCGGGATCAAACGCGTCGGTGGATCGGGTTTGTTTCGCTGCTGCGCGGCGCTGTTTTCGGTTTTTGGGTCCTTCCATTGTTGACGTGGGAATGGACACTGATTCGGTGGGTAGAGGATGGTGAAGCGGCGGAGAAGGGGTCAGGGGTGACAGGTGACAGGTGCAGGTGGAGGTGGAGGTAGGAGGTAGGAGGTGGGAGGTGGGAGTGTAAGAGGGTCCGTGATTCTGGCGCGGTGGTCGATTCGTGCAGGTGTTCGTGCTATGCTGATTAGACTTTTCCTTAGGAGAGGAAAGAAGGTCTGTAGGTTGCAGACTGGTGGATTGGCTGATCTGGAATTGTGAGTGTGATGTCGAAGTTGTCCGACTTTCGACCCTCACTCGGCGGTAAACGGGGTTAAGCGGGAGCTATAAATAGTATCTATCAATAATCTCATACAGTACAAATGCAAAGAGACATGTAAACCACGACATCCTGATAGCTACAGATTCGATAATCATATACCTGTAGTAGTGTAACTGGAAGGAAGAGCATCGAAGGTCTTCTCTTCCTACTAGAATTCATAAGCTTGAGTCGAGCTACTACAATGTAAGTCCCTGCTTAAAACCTCGGGTATGTATGCACCGTACTCCAACTACCGGTATTTGTACCCAAGGAAAAAGGGTCAAGTCAACACAACTGTTGGTCCTCTCGCTGCATTATCTCTGATTGAGGGTGTTGGATAGTATGGAGGTAGCCTTCCGGCTTGATTTCCCCTGCATAGGACTCATTTTCTGTATGAGTGTGCCTGCTTTCGCTGGCCTATCTCGGCCTACGATCGATTCATCAGACTTACAATTTATCTTACACTTACTTTGACTTACAAATTATTTCATCTACTGGTAAACGACAGCCAGAATTACCGTAGCATCAAGCAAATTAAGTAATAATAAGGTAGTACAAACTCGTCAAAATTCCAGCTATCCTATTACCATCGAATCCCAAAACAAAAGGAGCGAAACATGCGTGTATCGTGAATCATTGCTCTTTTTTTGAAAACCAACTCGGTCTATCAGTTGTCATCGCTATCCTCCTACCCAGACTGGTACAGAGCGGGTCCGGCCACGACATGAGGGTTCAGCATGGTGATGTTGAACGGAGTCACGAAGAGGTCCGAGTCCGTGATGGCAATGAAGAGAGTGCCGTTGGCGGCCGGGTCACCAGCGTAGGTCGACACATCGGGCTGGATGGTCGAGCCCGAGTTCGATCCGTTGAGGGTCAGAGGCGAGTAGGTCACGTTCAGCTGCGAGGCCCAGGCGACGAACTTGGGCGCGCCCGCGCTGGTCGAAGTCACGTAGCTGTTGTTCGGGCCCACGGCCTTGCCGGGCTCCTCCCAGGTCAGGAAGACTTGACGGCCAGGGAAGGAGAGGGGGTTGGTGCGGTTGCGGGTGATCGCGGGCGAGCAGTTAATGCCAACCTCAGTGGAGTTCAGGCACGAGTCCGACTCGGGAACCACCGTGCTGTTCGACACGTTGGTGCCGTTGCTGATGGTCTCGCCAGACGCCTCAGAGCCCTTGATCCGGAAGGGGTTGGGCTGGTTGACGATGCTCAGAGCAGGGAAGTTTTGCCAGGCCAGACGAGTTTGGTCGGCGGGGCAGTCGGCAATGTATGGAGCCAAAAGAGTCCAGGCCCAGGACTGGGGAACACCAACCTCAAACCACACCGGCATGGGGAAGAGACCCTCGAACTGACGGAAGATGAGCTGCTGTCTGGCTTCCGTGGTGATGGCTTGCGTAAGAAGGGTCGCAGCCTCGCGGGAATCAAGGTGAGCCAAGAATCCGTAGACACCAGCCTCACCGAAGCGAGTGAGCTTCTGGCAGAAGTCGATGAACTCGTGGACAGTGGTGTAAGGGTAGACATAGTTGCACTGCTTGGGGGCTGCAGCGCCCAAGATGTTGGTCAACATGGTGGCATGTCCAACTTCCTGGTCGGCCATGAACTCAATCAGATGGCGATCCTCTGCGCCCAATCCAGCAGCAGTAAAATCCTCCTCCGAGAAGCGAGCCAGTCCGTCGTGGAACAGATCGAGCTCAATGTACTCTTGGTAGAGAGCGAGAGCCTGGTGCAAGATTAGCAGGTGGCCCAGTCTCCGAAAGGGTTGGAGAGACGTACCAGTGACTCGAAGTCGAAGTCACTCTTTGCATTGTAGACGGGCTCAGTGCCGTTGGTCCCAACGCCTCCTGCAGGGATGTATGGACCAGGCTGAGGGGCATGAAGCTCTCCATCACTAGGATAGTCGAATGCCCCCGGCGCAGGAGGCAGAGGCGAGACTCCAGGGCCGATGGAGCTGGCAGTCAGGGCTCCAGTAGTGGTGGGGGTTCCGGTGTATGGAGTATGCGCCTGAGAGGTCGAGTAGGTCACCACAGGCGGAGCAGCAGCCGTAGCTGTCTCAGCAGCATCGGTAGTGCGAGCGAAGAGTTGGCCGGGCAAAGCCGAAGCCAAGGGCGAGCCCAAAGAGCTGAGCAGCAACAAGCGGCCCCAAGTCATTTTGAGTGGTGTGTGTAGGTAAGATTGGGAGTTTCGAAACCTGGCGCTTGGTGACCTTCCAAAAGACAGGGGCACGGAGATTCAGCTTTAAAAGCTTCACGAGGACTGTTGCGTAGTGACCCGGCTGTGACGCAACCGGGTAATCATCTCCATGTTCAAAAATCTCTGCTGGAGGCCGACTAAGTCCTGCTCGACCCAAGCAGTGCCTGGGCTAGGTTCACGGATGGATTCGGCACCGCATGTAACCAGCTTGTATGACCCTGAAGCGATGTCAGTTGGGACCACAAGCAGGCCGTCGACCTCGCTCCACCACGTCGATCCATCCGGTCATGTCGGCAAGCAGACATTGGGCTACATCCGAATAAGGCTGAGCTTCAGTTTGGGATACACTAGATGTGCTGGCCCGCATGGACGCTGTTCCATGGTTTCTTCATGAGAAGAGCTGGGTAGTATAGAATGGGGCGTCAGTGAACAAGCATGACGAAGTGAACGAGCATGACGACTAAGTGAACGAGCATGACGACTAAGTGAAATCAGGAGCTAAGGGGAGAATTCCGTCCGAAAGGGGTATTGATCGGCCCTTCGCACTGTGACACAACCCTGGATAGCCATGGTTCAGTCAGCCCGGGCTTACAGACAATCAGTATAGTTAAACTGAATAACTTGGTTGTCAAGCAAAGAGAAGACCCACTTCAACAGGTGCCGTGCTCCACTGACTAGACACACCTTAAGCTACGCGGGAGATGAGAGCGCCGCATTGAGTCAGGCTCAGGGTGGTCAGAGTGACGTGCAGGAAAGATGGAGTCGAGTGGAATGGCCAGGAACATTCACCCAGGGAATCAGAGCACACGAGCGGCGTTACACTAGAGTCGAATGGTGGAAGGCGGTGGAAAAAGTGAAAAAATAAGGTGGAAGATGAATGCATTCATCGCCGAGGCCGGATGAGGCAGGTGTGACCTCCCTTCGGCGTCACCTCCGGTTTTTCCACCGGCTTCGTTCGGGACTTTTCTTGTCCTTCTCCCCGCTAAGGCTGTTCCTGACAGCCCACGGCTCAGAACTGGGAGTCCATGGCCAGCTGAGCAGTTGTGGTTCAACAATGGCATCGATGCCGATGGTTGCGAACGGGAGAAGGACAATGAACGATCGCTAGGAACAATAGGCTGTGTGACGTGATCGGATCCGGCCGAGAACAACTCCAGCTCCTAGGAGTAACAACTTACCCCGCATCGTCTGTGGTATGTGTCTTTAACTCACCTTACTCACTGTACACTACTTCTGCAACCTCTTTCGCAACCAGCCAGACAGTTGTGCTACCAATTGCTATCTCTCAGAATCCAGAATCCAGTCACTGCAACATGTCCCATCTTCGAGTCGCGGAGTTATTCTCCGTCGAGGGCCTAGTGGCCGTCATCACGGGGGGTGGTAGTGGTGAGTCCCCCTCCAGCTCCTCCGCATGTCCCCTAGGAAGGATGTGTTCAGGACGTTGCCACTCACCGGTGCTGTTCTCCTTCTCCTGCTAGGACTGGGCCGGATCATGGCTCTCACGCTCGCCGAGAACGGCGCATCCAAGGTCTTCATCATCGGTCGCCGCCCAGAGGCCCTGCAGGAGACGGCGGCCCAGAGCTCCAAGCCGGAGGCCATCATCCCCATCCAGGCCGACATCTCGTCCAAGGAGTCCCTCCAGGCGGCCTACGAGGCCATTGCCGCGCAGACGGGTCATGTTGATCTGCTGATCGCGAACAGCGGGATCTTGGGTCCGGTGAACCGCCCGCCCGGGCCCAAGCCGGACGGATCAGTTCCCAGCCTATCCGAGGTGCGCGACCAGCTGTGGTCCGCGTCCATGGAGGAGTTCTCGAAGGTGTTCGAGGTCAATGTCACGGGCGCCTATTTTACGGTCCTCGCCTTCCTGCCGTTGCTGGAGGCGGCCAACCAGCGCCGGCCGGCGCCGGAGAAGAACAAAGCGTCGGCCCCAACCGCCCAGGTCATCATCACCAGCTCGATCGCGGGCTTCAACCGTCGGGTGCCGTTCAGCTTCGCCTACAACCTCTCCAAGGCGTCGACGAACCAGCTGATCAAGATCCTCGCCACCACGCTGTCGTCGTACGACATCCGGGTGAATGGCATTGCGCCGGGACTGTATCTCTCGGAGATGTCGACCTCGAACTTCCAGGACGGCGACAAGGGAATCTCCGACGGCTCGTTTCCCCGCGATATCATCCCCCTTACACGTGCAGGTAGCGAGCAGGATATGGCCAGTTTGATTCTGTGGATGGCCGGCCCGTCGGGCGCATATCTCAACGGCAACATCACGATAACCGACGGAGGCAGAGTGAGCGCGGTTCCATGCACATATTAGTAGTAGGGGAGAGGAGACTATTGCACATAGACGAAGACTTCCGCGTAGATACTATGAGATGAAATGCTAGATCTTAGAAATAGAATGCCAAGCGACCTCTCGAATACAAGCCCTCCATAACAAAGCTTCTGTTCAAAACGTCCCAATGCAACGATGCGGTATTTATCATCCTGCTGAACGGTGTTACGATGTCAAACTGATGGAAAAGCCAAAGATCCAATACTCCTTCCGAACGCCAGTGTCATCGTGATGAGAAATATTAGTAGGTTGCGGTCAGTCGCTGCACGAGGTAGTCTCCAGCGGTGATTCCAGGGTACTTGAGCGGGCGGATATCCTCCCCGTAGGTTCCGGGGATGGCTTCGATCATCTGGTCATTATTGGGATTACAGAAGTACGCAATGCTGTAACGATCCGGATACACCCCGGAGCCGTCCTCGTCGGCATCCTTCTCGTCCTCGTCGACGACCTTGGGAGGCTCGACGACGCGATGCCTCGTGCTCTTGATCGTGTCATTCGACCACCGCGCGAGCAAGTCACCCGCGTTGACGACCACGGTATCGGCGATGGGGGTGGCGTCGACGAAGGTGCCGCGGGGGCTGCGGACCTGGAGGCCGCCGCGGCCGTCCTGGAAGAGCAGGGTGATGGACCCGTAGTCGCTGTGCTCGCCGGCGCGGACTTGCAGGGGGTTGTGGCGGAAGACGCGCTTGTCGACGGCCGGGTAGTGCAGCAGGCGGAGGTTGTTGTCGCCGGCGTCGACGTACGGGTCGAAGTAGTGCTCCGGCAGGTGCATGCCCAGCGCGATGGCCCGCATGACCTCGGTGTGCAGCGCCTTGCACATCTCGAAGAACGACAGCATCACCGCCTTGAACTCCTTCCCCGCGGCGTCGAGATGCTCGGGCCAGCGATTCGGGAGCCCCTCCACGCCTTCCCGGCCGATCTCCATCGTCTCTTTGAGGTCGGGGATGCTGCGCGACTCGGCCGCAGCGGCGGCGACGTCATCGTCGACATCTTCCACGGTGCTGAGCTTCTCTTGGCCCGTCTTCACGTACCCACGGTTCGCTTGTGGGGTCGTCCAGCACAGGCTGTCTTTCTGATCCTGGGGCCGCGCGAAGAACCGGGCGGAGGTGCCAAAGACATGGCTAACCACGGATGGTGGGACGCCGTGATTGCTGAGATAGAGGAACCCGGAGGTCTTGAAGGCGTGCACGACGGACATGGCGACTTCATGTTTGTCGGCGGGGGTCCCGTGCAGGAAGGGCCCGAAGTCGATGATCTACAAATACAAAGGAAATAGGCGACCCTCCGTCAGCGAGGATGAACGTAGCTGAGACCCACAATACTCGTTGCGCAAGGAATACTCAAGGAAAGCGAGTGGCTACTCACTGGAATCACGAGGTCATCTTTCTCGATGGCCGTGGTTACAGGGTGGCACTGCTGTTGCGGCAGATTGCCTTCCATCCTGATCGCACACGTGGAGTTTCTAGGAGATTTCAGCTGAGAGATAAATGCTAACAATGTAGGAAAGTCGAGTATGAATCGTTTAATATCGGTGTAGATATCGCAGAAGACGTGGCGGGGAACTCGAAAGTCAGGTGGAGGGAAGCCGTGAGATCACTACTGTTCTTATCCGCTCGCAGAACCAAGGAAGGGAGGAACAATGGATGAATGGGCCTGAGCCTGCATGGCACCACATGGGGAAAGCATATCGGGGGTCACTGCACTATACACAAGCGGTCCCCTACAACTTGTTAGAAATGGCGGGGGAAAGATAAGGCCTGACAGTTGATCGTGGGAGGGGGGGGGCGATATGGAGATAAGTAAGTGCTTAATTCCAAGATAAGATAGATAGTCCCTGAGATCTGAAGTGCGTGCTGAAGAACAGACACAAGATAATCAATCCTCTGAACAGATTACTATTGCAGGGGAGATCAAGGCGATGATTGCTAGCTGCTGGCTGCTGGCTGCAGTATCTGATAAGTCATCTTCATGCAGGATGAGGTATTTGACTGCCCTGAGGTATCAACATAACCATGTGCGTCTTTCCCCTCACTTTTGCACCTCTACCCCTCCATTCCACCCCCATTGCCAACCTTTACTTCCAATCTCCCCCTCTAACCACTACTAACTCCATCCAACTTAACTCCAAGCTCGACCAGCCTGCACACAAACATGGCGCCTCTCATCGTCGACATCCACACGCACGTCTACCCACCCGCGTACATGCAGATGCTCCGCGCTCGCAAGACGGTACCGTACGTGCACGACCCGGCCGCCGCCAACGCTCCGCCGCGGCTGATCATCCTGTCCTCAGACGATGACGCCTCCATCCCGCTGGACCAGCGCGGCCGACCCGTGGACGCATCCTACTCGGACATCGAGGTCAAGCTAGCCTTCATGCGCCGCCACGGCATCAACAGCAGCGTGATCTCGCTGGCCAACCCGTGGCTGGATTTCCTGGCGCCCGAGGAGGCGCAGACGTGGGCAGAGCGGATCAACGATGACCTGGAGGCGACCTGCGCGGGGGTGAACCGCGCGGCGGACCCGGACAACACGCGGGCGCTGCACGAGAAGGAGACGCTGTATGCCTTCGGGGCGCTGCCGCTCAGTGCGCCCAGCGCGGAGGTGGTCGTCCGGGAGATTCAACGACTAAAAACGCTGCCGCATCTGCGGGGCGTGATCATGGGCACGACCGGCTTGGGGAAAGGGTTGGACGATAGCCGACTGGACCCCGTGTGGAAGGCGTTGCAGGAGACCGACTCCCTCCTGTTTCTGCATCCGCACTACGGACTCCCCGACGAGGCCTTCGGCGGCCCCGAGGCGTTGAACCGCTACGGCCATGTCCTGCCCCTCGCCCTGGGGTTCCCGCTGGAGACGACCATCGCTGTGACGCGGATGTTTCTAGCCGGGGTTTTCGATCGGTTTCCCGGGCTAAAGATCCTGTTGGCGCACTCCGGCGGCACGCTGCCCTTCCTTGCGGGGCGCATCGAGAGCTGCATCCTGCATGAGCGCAAGTTCGTGGCGAACGGAGGCGATGTGCCCGGTCCGCAACGAAGTGTCTGGGATGTCCTCAATACCAACATCTACCTGGATGCAGTGGTCTACGGTACTGCTGGCTTGAAAGCCGCGGTAACTGCCGCTGGTGGTGCGGATCGTCTACTCTTCGGTATGGATCCTGGGAAAATTCGCTGGTCACTCAACAATGCTGACTTTGAACAGGAACTGATCATCCGTTCTTCCCCCCGCTTGGCAAGGATGACGAGGAATGGCCAAGTGTAACCACAAACTATAAGGCTATCCATGCTGCCTTCGAAGGGGAGGGCGAGACCGTTGCAGGGGTCTTGGGAGAGAACGCGGCTCGCATTCTGAAGTTAAAATGAGTTTCAAACATCTCTGCAGCAATGAAATGGGGTTTTTTTTGCCTGGAAAATTTCAAATAATCTGACTATGTATACGTGCGTCTTTAGTCAGTATCTATATGTGCCACAAGCTATATTGCGTAAGATCTAGTTGTTGTATGTTACCTTGGGTACCTGACAGCAGGGGTGAATCCTATAGTCCACACCAGGGACATTATACACCCAATGATGAACCTGCCACCAAGTCCCAACCGAGAAGTCTCCAAGTTTCTTGAACAAACCATTCCGATACAGATTGCTCATGGGTAGACGTCGTGTGGAGGGAGATGGTCAAAGTATCGTCATGGCGGAGAGGGCGCAAAGCTTCGCCGAATCTTAAGTCTTGACCAAATACCGCTTGTAGAAGAGTGCTTTGTAGTCTTCCTTTGATTCCTACCGCACAGTTGAGATCCTCAGGCAACAACGGTGGATTCAGTACGGTAAGCAGTCTTTCAAGAGGTGGTATAAGATGTTTGGCCTCTATCTCAGCAGCTAGGACGGATTCCTCGTCAAGCTGCACATCCTTCAGGCCATGCGGGAGTGACAAATTAGCAGGGTCTCCTTCCAGATCGGATTGTAGATGGAGGTCTCTGAAGACAAACAAACAAAGTAACTCGCCAATACGACTGAGCAACACGTAGCTGAAACCGTTTAGTAGGTCCGAGGTCTTTGAGCAATGTCTGTCTAGTGAAAGGGCCATTCTACAAAGTAGCAGACTCATCAGCTGGGCAACCTCATCGTTCGTGCTTGATGGGATCTTATTGTTGGAATGCCCTGTCTTAGACCTTTTCGACCTCCCAGAAGACCTTGTTTTGGTCGCTGAGGCCGCAGTTGAAAGTTGCTGCTTAGCATTGAATCGGCAATGGATACCCAACGCTTTGATAACTGTCTCAGACAGTCGAACAAGGTGGAAAATGATCTGGCCACGGCCTTGCAATGCTGATTCACCCGAAGGGACCTTCTTCAATGCTCTAAGCAGTAGCTGGTGGGCGCTGTATATACTGTTCAGAATCGCCGCTGCACTTGGATCCTTGACAACGGACGCATCTCTTCCTTCTGGATTGGAACCGGCTTGCCGTTGGACTGCACGGAGTATATCGTTTTCCGCGACGGAGCACAGTTCGCCTGCAGCCAGCGCAATAGCTGGAGTGTTGGGACTCCGCTGCAACATCTTCTGCAGAGCATAGAACTTCCTCATAAATGATGCTGTAGCTGCACGAATCTTCCTCAGCATCCGGAGCATTTTCTTGAAATTATGACAGGAATTGGCTTACGCTCTTCAAGATATTCAGGTAGCTGACCGTCCAGCCCATTAGAGATACTCTCGATCAGCATGCAAGCTCTGCTCTGTGACTGTGCCTGTGATTTGGACTTTTTCCTTGAAGTCGTAGTGCCAGCCATACTAGCATCTAAGGTTGCCTTCCGCTTCGTGGATTCTTGTACCGTGTCTTTCGAGACAGCATTCGCGTCATGCAATTTGGCGGTAAGCACTTCGTTGAGTTGTTCCAGCTCGTATATCCGGTCAAGGAGTTTGCTCTGTTCGGCCTCGGATTTCTCGTACGCTTTTTGCCAGAATGCGACACTGTCGAAGAACTGATCTCGGCTTGTGGGCCGGTCTGTCGGCGTGGCTGCTTTGATGAATTGTCGTATGCGAGTAAAGTAATCTAATTGTTGCTTAGTACGCCTCATATCGACTGACTCAACCAGGAAGCGTTTGGTTACCTTTCATGGTGGTTCCGAGGGGCTTCTGCTTGACGATGGCCAGCGCGAGCGCCAACTGGGAAGGTGATGGTATAGTGTTGTCGGCCATTCTGGGGAGCAAAACTACAGCTGCTGGATGGCGAGTATCTCAGAGCAGTTGAGAGTGCATATGCACGCTTCTGTATAGATTGAATGTACAGATTGACGGCCTTTCATATGGTAGAGGACAATCATGTCGAATGCTTGTAGTCTGAAGCATCGCGCCGGTCAAGCAGAACATCTGGAACGGGAAGGAGCCGGGCATGCAGCATTTTACCCAAAGAGGTAATCACGAGAAGGTGGTATCTTAGCACTGAAGGATTGACAAGCAAAACCTCCTCTAGCTTCAAGTATGTAATGCAAGCTCATTAAACTCTCCTTATCATCACGAGTTATTTGGAGACACTGGACGAAAGTCTACTACACTGCGGGCTTCCGGTAGCATGCGCGACAATATATACCGTGCAACTGTAAGAAACAGAACATACTAAAGACGACACAACTTGAACCTTGTAACGACTCGAGTAAATGGGACGCAAGTACAATCAGTCAGTAGAGCGATTATGACAAACAAAGGACGACAAGAGTTGGCTGAGAAGGCTGTTTACCAAGACCATGTGTTGCCCAAGATACAACTATGTATCGCGGAGCAAGCTATTAGCAGTAACTAATGGCAGCTTGACTTTCCGCCACCGCCAACGACTTCCGCTCCGCCAAACAATCAACCATCATCTTTCACTCTCCAACCTTCAAACCACCTCTCCATCAGAGGCTCCCTACGCCCAACGACGCGCATAATCTGTCGCGTCCTACCCCTCCCCCACTTAACCTTGATCCTCAACACTCAAATTCCCTCGAATACCTCACCACCTCCCACCTCCCCCCCCCCCCAAAAAACCCAAAACCAACCCACCAAAAACCAACACAATGTCCTCCTCCAAGGACGACCTCAAAGCCCACGCGGCCTCAACCGAGGACTTCTACGCGCTCCTGGACATCTCCCCGGCGGCAGCCGAGACCGAGATCCGACGCGCCTACCGCCGCACCGCTCTGAAATACCACCCGGACAAGATCGCCAACCCGACGCCGGCCGACATCGACAAGTTCCACCTCCTGCAGATCGCCTACGATGTCCTCTCCGACCCAGCCGTGCGGCAGCTCTACGACAACGCGCGCGAGGCGCGCCAGCGCAAGCAGCGCGAGCGCGAGATGATGGATTCGGCCAAGCGGAAGATGCGCGAGGATCTGGAGGCGAGGGAGCGCGCGGGCGCGGCAGCCGCCGGAACGCAGCGGCAGCGGGGGGTGAAGAGGTCGTGGATGGGGACGACGGCGGATGGGGATGATGATGCAGAAGCAAGGTTGCAGAGGGAGATCGATCGGATTGCAGAGGATGGGCGGCGCAGGCGACGCGAGGCGGAGGAGAAGCTTAAGCTGGAGATGGAGGAGGAGGAGAAGCTGATGCGGCTGGAGGAGGAGGAAGCTAAGAAGGCGGCCGATCGGAGCTCGCAGAAGGTTGACCGGTCGCGGGAAGGCGGGGGCACGAATGTCCCGGAGTTGGAGCGCGGGGTGAAGGTGCGTTGGGTGCGTGAGGGCCGAGGGTTAGATCTGGATGCGGAGCGCTTGAGGGCGCTCTTTGCGCCGTTTGGCAAGATCGAGAATGTGCTGCTTCTCAAGGACAAGAGGCAACGCTTGGGCGACAAGCGGGAGAAGAAGACCGTCGCGACTGGGGTGGTTATCTTCGCCTCCATTGTCAGCGCTCACGCTGCTGTTCTGGATGGTGAGAAGAAGAAAGCAAGCAACGATGCCGGCAGTGACTGGTCGGTCGTTGAGTCGGTCTTCTGGGCATCGGGCGCTCAGCCTGAGCTCGGCGCGGAGGCTTCGAACGGCACCTCATCGTCCGCTCCCAGCTCAGCAGCAGACAGCGCTCCTACACCAGCAGCAGCTCCCAAACCTTCGTTCAACTTCGCCGGATTGAAAGCGGCCGGTACTGGCACTGCTGCCAAAGGTCCCGCAAAGGCGCCCTCCTTCGGTTCCTTTGCCTCCGCGGCCGCCAGCTCCCCGAAGCCTGCCCCTACTGCTGGCGCTCCCAACGGGTCGAGTGCGCCGAGTCTGGAAGAGTTGACCTTGATGCGACTGCGGAACGCCCAGCGGGAGAAAGAACGCAAAGCTCTGGAAGAGCAACTGCGAAAGGAAGACGAAGCTGCAGATGCTGCAGAGGCTGCAGCCGCCCAAGCCTCCTAAGGTTGGTCGCATCTCGGCCGCTGTCGGTGGACCCCTGCAATCGCCTGGTCCTGTTGTATATAGAAAGTTTTCCTGCTGTAGCATAGAGATACCCATACTAAAGATTTACGACACCCATACAAACAAGTTGATCCGCTTGAACTAGCCTTCTATCTAAATTACACATCATCATTCTATCATACATACACTTACTGTACATCTAAAACCAACAGACAAGTGGAACTACTCATGCAATCGAGCATCCTCTTCCTCCTCCTCCTCCGCCGCCAACCGCTCAGCAAGCTCCCTCGCCCTCTGGCCCTCGCGAACCGGATCACGAGCACGAGCCTGCTGCGTGCCGGAAGCGATATACTCCCTCGTCCACGGCGGCACGAACGCCTTAACCTTGACAGTTCGAATCTTCCCACCCTCCGCCCCCTCTAACCCACCCTCCTCCACCGCCGTCGCATCCCAGCTAATCTTGAACTCCCGATCCGGGGTAAACTGCGTAGCTCCCTCAGCCGAGAGAGCAACATCCGTCATCATCTCCAACCGACACAGCGCAAGCCCGACATTCCCCACACCAGCCAGGAACTTCCCAGCGCTGCGGCCCTTCGACGGCCCGACCCTGGAGATATCCAAACCCTGCACGCCGGCGGGGGGCGCCAGCAGCCCCTCCGCCACCGAGGGATCATAAACCGGGCCCTCCGAGACTCCCTCCGGTAAGCTATCCGCATACAACTGCACCGGCAGGATACGCTTGCGCACCACCCCGGTGTGGCGGGTGCGGATGGTCAGCTCCTGGCCGACGTAGCAGCCCTTCCGGAAATCGATGGCCTGGGCCAGATCCATATTGCATTCGAGGGGCAGCGAGGCCGCCCGCAGGATCTCCGTCTGGCCCTCGGCGACGCCGCGCAGCATGCGCCGTACCGTGTAGGACCCCAGGCTGGCCTCTTCGGTGCCCTCGAGCTGGCGCGCGAAATGCGTGCGCAGGTCCGCGTCGCCCGGCGTGACGAGTCGCAGCCCGAACCCCGGGGCGCGGGTGTCCACGCAGCCTGTGATGTTGGCGCCCGCGGCGCCCCATCCTGCTCCTCCCTCCTCGGAGGCAGAGTCGCCCATGCTGTGTGCGGCCCAGCGGCCGTCGCCGTGCTGAACGTTGTGGTTCTTCCACGCGGCCCAGACGGTGCGTTCGGTGGGGTCGAGCGCGCGCAGCTGCAGCTTGGCGCGGAGTTTGTGGCGTTTGAGGTGCTTCAGGAGCGCGGGGAGCTCGGCGGCGTCCGCTTCGATGAGCCAGCCCGGGTCGGCGGAGGAGGATCCGTTGGTCTCGAGGTCCAGGTAGATGAAGGCGTCGTTCAGGATGCGGCCTTGCGAGTTGAGGAATGCGACGTACGAGCCCTTGCCCTCGGCGCTCTGTTTGACCATGTTCTGGGTGACCAGGCCCTGCAGGAATGAGGTGCTGTCGGGCCCCGTCACGGAAATGAGGCCTCTGTTCGTGAGTCGAGTATAGCCGGCTTCCGGCGGGGGCGCGGGAGTCCCATTGTCGCGGCGCGGTTGAGCACTTTGATGGACGGTCGTGGAAAAGTGTCGGCGGCTGCGGCTGATGCAGCGAGCGCACACGGTGCGTGAGGGATTGGACAGCATCATTCTTCTCCTTGCGAGGTGACGCTGACTTGGGTCCTTGCTCGGCTTAGAAATGTGTAGATACGGTAGGCTGCTGTTATCCGCTGATCAGGCGGTATGGGGAGGCAGAATAATCCACAGCAATGACATAATTCCGCGGTATTACGCAGCCGAACGGCCCGCATGCTATAATCACTGATTGGGAATCATACATGATCAACACCGTAAACAGGGGTCGGTTACAATCGGAAAATAAGCACGTTTCATACTAAGCAGGAGAATAACTCAAGATCTTGACGTTGGCAGTCGCTAAATTGAGTCCTAAAACTATCTAATTGATCCTGACCCTCATCGGGGTTCAGCGAGCTGAGTGAGGTTATTTATTGCCCTTGGCAACACCTTCAAGAAAACCAAGTAAGAATGCCTTGTTATCAGGCGAAGCGACCCGGCTCGAAAGAGAGAATTGGCCATCGTCCGCTCCACTTCCAAATGGGGACGCGGCAGTAATATTCAATGGCGTGAGTGGGCTAACGACACCAGAGGCACCCGCGGTCTTGGGTGCCGATGTGCTAAGCTCAGCAGGTGAAACTCCCGGTGAGGCAGATGCTTTCCCGAAGAGTGACAGCAAGGCTTCTCTTTGAGCAGGCGTCTGACTTGGACGGCGGTCAAAGTTCACTTGAGGCTGCGACTCCCGCCTGGGAATGGCAGGCTGAGTGCCGGCTTGCTGCTGGTCTTGCTCGTTCACCTGAGCTTTCAAGGGCAACAGATCCACAATGTTCGGGTTATCGGAGCGGCGGAGAATTTGAGGCTGGAATGGCTTCGCCGGCTCCGGAGTGCCTGACTTTGCCGCACGGTTGCGCGAAGGAGCCCGGGATGACTGTGAGGATGCCGGCAGCGAGCCCGGTTCCTTCTTTGCAGATTGTGGCCTGGGCAATATCGTAATAGGTGACGCGAGCGTTTGCGCCTGCTCGAGTTTCTTATTCCGGCGATTCGATCCATTGACTCCCCTTTTAGGAGAGGGCTTGGAAGATGCCATAGGCTGAGGCATACCTGATAGGGGACTGGGCACTGCGGAAGACTGCCGCGGATCTTTCGTGGCCGATGGGACTCTCCGATGAGCTGCCGGATGCCGGGCGGGGCCGTGCTCCCCACGTGGTCGTTGAAGAATCTGTTTCCTGGGCGGAGAGACAGACTGGGCTGGCAATTCCGCTGGCCCCGGGGGTGGAGGGACAGAAGACCCTCTCAGCAAACCTAGGAGTTGATCCTGGTGTTGTGAGGGCCGCCTGTCATGATGCGCAACCTTCTCCGCTGGTGGGACTAGGCTCGCATTAGATGTTTTGGGCGTCCTGCGAGAGTCGTCTTTGAACACGTTCAACAAGGCAAGAGAGTGAGTCGTAAGCTTTGGCGGTGGAAGCTTGCTTGCAGGAGGCACAGTCGCTCCCTGGATATTTGGCGCCTGGGCTGAATGAGAGAATTGGGGATCTCCCGTTCGTTGGTATGGAGCCGGGCCAGGTTGCGGCGCCGTGGGCAAGCTTGCTTGCACAGGATCGTACCTTGGAGGATTCGAGAGCATCTGCTCAAAGAACGGCGGCATTCCGTGATGACCAGGTGGTGCACCTGCATGAACCACATGAGCTGGTCGAGCAAGCGGTGGTACACCAATGCTCGAGACCGGTGCACGAGATACTGGAGTCTGCGGGAATTGCACAGGATTCATGGGCACAGGGCCTCGCAAATGTTGAGCTTGCTGAGGGAATCCAGGGAAAGAGGCCGTGTCAGGGTAAGGTGGCCCCATTGGTGGCATACCATCTGGAATAGCGAGTGGCGGCAAAGCCTTGTCGGGTCCATGGGCTTGCGGAAGAGTATCTTGCGACGAGCCACTCCTGAGGAGTTCTAACAAGGCATTGGACTTCGAGGTGATAGTCCTGTTGTCCGCAGGGGTGGCTAGATTCGCAGGATTATCCTGGACAGGAACAAGGCCGTTGATGTTCAGAAGGCGCTTGAGATGAGACGAAGCATCTTGAGATGATGCGAGTTCCGGCAAATCGCTCGGGGTGGCCAGCTGGGCAGGAAGCTGGCTAGGCGTGAAGCCATTGATAGCCTGGGGTGCCTCATCCATCGACAGCTCTCCCTCAGTCTGCACAAGGTGCCTGGCTCCGGGGTGCGACTTGATCTCAGCTTTCTTCTGCTGAGCGATCCATTTCTTCAGCGGGTGCATGAAAGGGGCGACCATGTAGAACTTGTTTGCATTAGCCACAACCAGCCCTTGCTCCTGCTGTTTGCTCTTTTTGAGTGTCGGCAACTCCGATAGCTTGTACCACTCGATCTTGCTGATCTCTTTCCGAGTACGAGGCTCGAAATGGGCGTCCTGTGGCACTCCGCGGAAGACGTACAGCCTCATGTGCTGTTCTCTCATGGTGATCTCGATGTATTTGGCGTCCTTCTCTTCCGGAACGAGCCCCGCCTCGCGTATATCATAGCCTGTCTCCTCGTAGACTTCACGGATAGCACAATCGATGTCTTTCTCACCCTTGTTGATTTTGCCTCTCGGGAAACTCCAGTTAGCACCTTTCTTCCAGCCTTTGACTAGGACCACCTCGTCCATGTCCTGGTTCAGCATGATGGCTCCGCGAACGGGTACACGGGTCTTATAAGCCAAGAACTCGGAGAAGGCGGTGATGTGGTGATAGTGCGACCATTGCGACATCAAAGGACAGTGCTGAAAGATGCGCAATGCGAATGCTTTCAGGGATAACGACGGAAGAGCCGGATCGAGCGGCCGGATGAAGTCCTCGTAGAACCATTGTGCCTCTTCGACTTGGAAACAGATACGTTCAACGGATTCAAGTTCCTCACGTGGTAGATTGATGATAAAGCGGACACATAAATCATCCAGCCCTGGGGGAACCACCGTGTCAGCATCACTCATGTCAGAGGCGGCGCAGAAGACCGCGCGTCACAGCCGAACTCACAGTCTTCCAACTGCATTTTTGTTTCTGTCATACTGAAAAACGTGGTTTAGCATCTCAGCAGAGGTAAGTATAGATAAATGGCTCTCCAGATGAATCGGAGAGAGCGCTAGACAGAGAGGTGGAGGGGACAGCACAGCGCGGCTGCAGCTTCAAGGTAGGGTGCTTGGCAGAGCGCCACCCCTGAAGCGTACTTTGGTGAGAGTGAGTGAAACAGGAATAGAGGCGAATCAATTGCTTGATCACCAGTATGAAGCTAATAGGGGAGCAAACGATAAAGGATAGACTAAGGAAGGTGACTCTTCTCAGCTCGACACCCGACGACGGCCTGATCAGGTTGGAAGAGAGCTCGGTAAGCACCAACAAGTCCGAGACGGGATCAATAATGCCCGGAGAGGGGGGGGGCCATTCGGTCACGCGCCACATATTGTGGCGCAGCTACCCAGTTACACTACGGCGGCATGACATGTGGTGGTGTGGCTGGTGACAAGTGCCGTGTTGGGCATTTCAAGGGGATTACGTAACAGGGTCGAAGGACAGCCGATGACGTCGGAGGTTGCTCGTGCCTCGCGACGATCGACGTTGAAGTCAATGACTGGTTACAACAAGCTTTTTAAACCTGCTGACCTCCTTCTTCAGCTGAGCATGATAACACGCCTAGGAAAATTTCAAAAGAGCGAAACTGTGTCTGTGCAGGTCATTGTATGAAAGAATATCCACAAATAACCCGAGACACCCTCTGCTGGCAGACCTTCTAGGTTTTGCAACCAAGACTCCCCTACACAGACTTTTTTTGGGGAATTAAAAGAAACAACCACGAGCTATGACGACTAAGATTGCATCGCTTGTTGGCAAAAGGATCTTAGGCGAAACGGCCAGAAACCACTTTGGCCAAGAGGTAAATATCCTTCTCTACTTGCACCAAGAACTCTATCACGACCCATGAGCTAACAAGCGCTGCGGTTTGGCAGGATCCATACTTCGAAGAAGTCCCCGCCTCCCGCCTAGGACGAGCCTTCGGCAAAAAGACACAGAAAAGGCGGAAAGCGATACCGCCAGGATTATCAGACCACGACCAGAAAGTCCTGACGCAAGTCAAGAGAAGAGCATATCGACTAGACTATAGTCTTTTCAATTTGTGCGGGTTAAGGTTTGGATGGGGAAGTGTGATTGGGCTAATTCCTTTGTAAGTCCTTTCGGTAATGACACCGAAGCTGACAGGCAGAAACTAACGCGCCGAGTACACTAGTGCCGGAGATGCTGCCGATGCAGCACTCGCCTTGATGGTTGTTCGGACCTGCGAGGGCATCGATGGAGGTCTTCCGGCAAGCCTGCGCATGATGATGATGATCAATGTGGTGATCGATTTCTTCATAGGACTTGTGCCCTTCGTGGGTGACATCGCAGATGCCGTCTACAAGTGCAACACAAGGAATGCCGTGCTCCTAGAGAAGCATCTGCGAGAGAAAGGGGCCAAGGCGCTCTCAAAGCATGGCGGAAGACATGATGCACCCGAAGACGCCAGTCTCCCCGAAGAATTCGACCGATACGACAAGGGCGCCATAGAGGAACCGAGGAGACATCGGAGCAGGAAGCACTCTAGGACTGACGGTCCCGCGGTGCCCGAACCAGCAAGACATCCACAAAGGAATCGGTCGCAGAGAAGATGGTTTGGCGGCGCAGCCCCCGGCGATGACGATCTCGAAAGAGGCGTCGTCGACAACACGCGATCCGCTAGGCGCTGAGAATGAGCCGCGTGCTAGCCCACATGAAGGATGCAGAGAGAGACTGAATGCCCATATTCGCAAGATTAGGATAATGTTAGATTTCGCGCACAATCATATCTAATGTCTGCACTGTCAACTCTTAGCAACTTAGATCAGGTCGAGATCGAGCACATGCATAGCATATCTGGGAAGATAAGCTGTCTGAGTGCTGGCCTGTGGCCTGTGGCGATGTCGCATTCGTCTTGAACATAAGAGCTCCGCAAAGGCTGCATTGCTGTTCGGCCGGGGAAGCGCTGGGAGACTGTAGTTTGCTTGCTGTTCTGGTCACATTCAACATCACACCAGGGTACTTCTCACCCTGCGTGAGCACGTAACGAACCATCAGCTCGTCGATTGACAGATTCTTCGTGAGCGTGTTCTCCGAAACCGCTTGATGGGGAATAATGAGGTCAGAAAGTTCTGGGATGAAGCTAGCATAGTTGCGCAATTCAACAGTAAACAGGTCCCGAAGGGGAAAGTTGTACTCGAGTCCGGATGGAGATATCCCGTCGCAGACCTGCCAGGTCACTGCGGAGCCGCGGCCCTTTGCAACATTCGCAAGAGTCTTGGCAGCCAATTTGCTGTCCGAATCTCCCCATACTATGCCGCGGCACTCCATTTTCTTTGCGAATGCGACGATAAGTCGATTGATAAGGATGTTATCGACGTCCGCTTTGGAGGTTGCGCTTGTGATCGACGAGCGAAAAGCTTCAAGGCGCTCCTGATTCGACAATGAAGTTTGATCCTCGAACTTCGCGTGCGCATACAGTGACATGACTTCGCTAATGCTGGGATCGTAATCAAAAATGCTGTGGAAAGGAACGGTCGTGAAGGAGCAGTGAGGGAATCGCTTCTCGGCCAGACTGAAGGCTTCATCGTGCGGAGGAATCGAAGGGTTTATGGTTGACGGATCAATGGTTAAGACGAGAAGCTCATAGCCCTTGGGGCCATGCGGCTTGAGTCGCATGGTTTCGACTTGCTCATGCAGCATGTGCAGCATGACTGTAGATGACAAGCCGTAGGAGAGAGGAAGTAAGAGTTTGCAGGGTCCATCTTGGGGCATATTCCTCCTAAGGCGATAGTTCTCCGTGCGTTTGAAGGGCTTATACTTGACAAAGCGTATATAGCAGTCCCTAGAAGAGGGGCACTTTCTGTCAGTCACTGCGGGCGGCGCCACTCCCAAACCAGATGCGATCCAGAAGACTTACTGGCAGACATGACGGCTGCGCAGAATGAAGGCGGGTTGCGCCTCACGGCAGTTCATGCAGCGTTCTGGAATCTCCTTGCCTGGCATGTTGTAAAATCGTCCTAGCCTAGTGAGTGAGTGAGTGAGACGATCGGGTTCAAATGCGGTGATTGATTGACAAGCAAAGCAGGGCAGCGGGAAGCCGATTGGGAAAACCTAGGCAGAAATTCTTCAGTGGCAGTACGGGCTTAGATAATCGTCAATCGGCGGGACCGTCAACACGCGCGGCTTCCCCGGTTTCAGGTTGTAGCCACGAATTCGTGCGATCGCTGGACAGTACACATTCTCTCCGAAAGCTATACGCAACCAACTGTCGGTTGTCCTTGGGAGTCTTTCTTTCTCCCTCTCTCTTGATCTCTGACAGTCTGACTTCTTCACACTCTTGTACCGTCATATGCTTTAAACCCGTACCCCATCTTCTGCGCTCGGCGAATCCGGAGCTCTGTATTGCCAGTAACCCACCGGTTAGCTCCTATTTATGGTCAGAATGAGAGGGTGGCTTCAGACTCTCGGCTTAACAGCCTTATTTGCGGGACATGTTCTTGCCAATGAAGTTGCATTGGTGCGTTTGTCCTCGTCCTACACAGTCTCCATCGCTCACCTTTGACATTGGGTGCTTTCTAGACACAAGATGAAGCCAGTCGGCAGCGATGCTCGGGAATGTACAGCCGCAAAGCATGGGGTGGAAGCGTAGACCCCTTTATCCTGACGAAGTTTGTCCAAGACTCGACTGCTGGCGACAGTGATCCCATTGTCAGCCTGGTGATTTTCGAATGGACTGATGAGAACCTCATCGGGCGGCCTGTACCCGGCGACTCCGATGTATGTCTCGAGGAGTGGCTTTCGAGTGAATATCCTCTGATCAACCAATGCTTTTTAGGTGATCGAAACTATCTGCGATGAAGCCAGTGTTCAAGCAGATCTGTGCAAGGAAGATCAAATTGGCTCGTTTATCCTCGCTGCGAACGCTACCGAAGCCGCCAAGTTCCCCATCATCACTCAGGCCGTGCATCTCAGCAATCCGACCGCCATCAATTATCCGATCAAAAAGACCGGCTTCTACTGTGTGAGCACATACGGATACTCCGGAACCGACTACAAGGCCGTTGTGGAATTCAGGAATTCGTATGGAGAGCTCCCAGCGGCACAAATTGCAAAGCTGCCGTTCTATGGTGGCCTTACCATTGTCTACGCTGTGGTCGGAGCGTATGTTCATCGAGCCTATATCGTTATTGAGGCAATCAGCTAATGACAATAGGTTCTGGGCTTTTCTCTATGTGCAGAATCGTCACGATATCTGTAAGTCAACATCTGCCAGGGAGTCGATCTTGACTGACATAGGATAGTGCCCGTGCAAAATTACATCACTGCGATCTTGGTCTTCTTGATCGTCGAGCAGGCGATGACCTGGGGATTCTATGGTATGCTGAACCGAATACCATACATTTCGATGCTTCTCTAACCTTGAATAGAATATCAAAATGTGCACGGCTTGAATGCCGGCGCGAAAGCGTTGATGGTCATAGTAGCCGTTCTAAATGCAGGCCGCAACTCCTTTTCATTCTTCCTCCTTCTCATCGTGTGCATGGGATACGGCGTTGTCAAACCTTCGCTCGGACGAACTATGATCTATGTCCGCGTTCTCGCCATCACCCATTTCGTCTTCGCTGTGATCTACGCTGTTGCAAGTCTATCTATCACTCCCGACAGCGCCGGTCCACTCGTTTTGCTCATTGTCTTGCCACTTGCGGGAACATTGACTGCTTTCTACGTCTGGACGTTGAACTCACTGAACGCCACCATGAAGGATTTGATCGACCGCAAGCAGAAAGTGAAGGCTATGATGTACAAAAAACTGTGGTGGTGCATCCTTGGTAGCATCATCGTGATTTTCGGCTTCTTCTTCCTCAACTCGATCAACTTTGCCGGACACAGTGAAGCCAGCTTTGTACCTGAGCACTGGAAGACCAGATGGTTCGTCTTGGATGGCTGGCTCAACATTGTCTATCTCTTTGACATTGCGTTCGTCGCCTACTTGTGGCGACCCACTGTGAACAACCGCCGCTTTGCCATGAGTGATGAGGTAAGTCTCCTATGTGTGGAGTGTCAAGGATTGTCGCTGACCGAATCTGCAGATTGCCCAAGATGACGATGGTTTCGAGATTCGTTCGTTCGGCAGTGCATTGGATGAGGAAGACGCTCTCGGTGGCCTTGAAGAACACGTCGGCCATGAACAGCGTGGTGACCTGTCGCCTATCCCGCCGAAGCCTGTTCCCTCGGCATCACGCCCCCGGGAATCCCTGGATGGAGAGACTATCTTCGCAGTGGGCGAAGACGGCGACAGATGGTCGGATGATGAGGATGAGTCACCGCGCAACTCCGGTGAAAGACAGCGTCTTACCGACAAGCACTGAGTGGTCATACCAGGGTTGCAGGGTAGCTCGTGGCCGCAGTAGGAAGGCGTTATGTGTGTGGCCGGAGGAGAGTTCCTTGCATCCCAAAAACCGTTGCCGTGTAGGATTGGAGGCTCAATTTCGCTTTAATTTGCTTGAAGGCATATCATGGCGTTTGGCTAAGGTGAATTCCCAGTGAGTTTCGTTATTAGCCTTTTTAATTTATTTTTTCATTGATGAGGGATGAAGTATTTTGTTGTTACATAGTGTATAAAGTGTGCTTGATTCTAGTTCAAAATGAAGACTTGTGCTTTAGGATGTGGTCCATGTCGAAGAAGCTTGATGGGAATGAAGGCTTTACTCAGTAGTAGTATAAACTAGCTCTAGCGACTGTCTGGATAGCCTGAATTGGGCACTATGATTGGAATACTAGGCATTCCCCATCGACACGCACCGCGGCTCGCGGTATGTTAGTTTTTAGCTTGGAAAGAGCCAAGCAGCCGTCATCTGCAATGGCCGAGCAGCTAGCGAGCTGTGTCTTACTTCTGCCAACAGCCTCACATATCCAGCCATGACTCAGACATAACTTTCTCCCACCTTCTATCTCCTTCTCTCGACGCCCTTACCGAGTCCTCAAATCTCCTCTTGAGTATACATTGCACCGCAGACCTGAACCCCTCCACCCCGCCGCCGCCGCGGCGAACCTTACCAACCAAGACCCAACCCAAACAACCCCCCACCAAACCCAATAAACTCACCTCCAACACCCCGAGAAACCACCTACCACACCAAACTTCCAAACCTCAAACCCCCAAACCGACCCGAGAACCCGAGCCCCAGCCCAACGAAATGGGAGAACCCAACCCCTCCGACCTCTTCGACCAAAGCAGCACCACCGGCACCAGCACCAGCACCCTCACCCTCTCCACGACCCTCGTCACCCGATGCCGCACCCTCCTCGCCGAACTCACCGCGCTGCAATCCCTCCTGGCGCAGACGCAACGCAACCCGCAGATCGTGGAAGTGCGGTCGCTGCGCTCGAGCGTGCTCTCCGAGCTGCGCATGCTGGAGAAGCTCGATGCGCAGGTGCAGAAAGCTACAGCTGCTGCTGCCGCCGCCGTTGCAGCACCGGAACATGACGATAGAGGAGGAAACGATGGCGACGACGAGGTGCGGGCGCGGTTGACGCATGCGTTGAGGTCGTCGAATCTGCCGTTCTACGAGGCGGTGTGGGCGATTGCGAAGGGGTCGTGTTCGGGGTTGGTGGCGTTTGGGAAGCGGTTTTATTGGGGGGGTGAGGTTGATACTTCGGGCACGGGGACGGGGGAGAAGAAGAGGAGCAGCAAGGATAAGAAGAAGAGTGTGTTTGTGGATATTGTGGCGGATGATGGGGAGGAGTGGGTGAAGGTGTCGACGATCTCGGAGACGAGGTTGTTGTTTGAGATGGCCAAGAAAGGGTGGGAGGCGGATGATTCCGAGGAGGAAGCTCCGCGAACGGTGCTGCGGAATCATGAAGATGGGATGGGGACAGATGATGAGGACGACGATGATGATGATGAGATCGAGCTGGTAAAGCTGGCTAGTGGTATGAGGAAAGCGGCTAATGTTACGAGGGTGAGGTATAGAACGCCGCGTCTGCGGTTCGTCATTCCTAAGATAGAGGAAGGCTCGAGTCCCGAGATCGATGGTCTGCTGAAGGTCATACGTGGGTATGGGATCGATGTGACTTGTGGGGAGAATGTATATTCTTCGCAAAGCGAGACCACGCAGGCTGAAGCGCTGGAGAGGCTGCTCCCTAAGCCCTTCAAGCATTTCACGTCTACCCTAAATATGGACTGTACATTGCTGCTCGCGGCAGTCTCGGACTTGTCGCATTACAAAGATATTTCCACCTCCCCCATTCATCACAAGGCCATCAATCGTCAGATTGAGGTTGAGCACAGCCGCCCACTGCTCCCCACGGAGTTGTGGCCGGCAATGGTAGGCCGTGATCTGGTCTGCACCGAAGAAGCCGCCCAGAGAATGCAGGAAATCGTCAACATCATCGGCACCGAAACTGAGAAGCAGCGGATGAGAATATTAATGGGTCATGATTCGTTTGCTGAATGTACTCCGGAGGGCCTCAGGGAGGCCTATCAGAAGCTGTCCGATTATGAGATCCCTGCTGACTGGAGAATTCCCGTGGTGAAAGTTAATGCGAAACCCACAATAGCTTCTGCGAAGGATCTCGCCAGACTTCCGCCTGTCTATGAAAAGGTCGAGCAGGTGCTATCTGACATCAATCACAGCGTGTTCTTGTACGGGTGGGCTGCCGGGGTGATGACGATATCAAGCAATCGCACGGTGGTCAAACAAATCGAGTCCATTGTCGAGAGGAATAGAGGGGCAGACGGTAGTCTGGAGGGGCCTTCGATTTGGGTATGCGATACAGCGAGGAGTTTGATAGGGAAAGAGAAGGGCCGCAAAGACTAGGTAATTATACTGAAATGCTTTAGACAATAGATCCCACCGCATCAAGAAAGGAGGGGAGTCATACCGGTCTTCTAAGTGTGCTTCGCTTCGATTCAGGAGCGAGGATTGGTAGTGAGAAAGGCCCATCATAATGATGCATTTCAAAGGGCACACCGGGTAGCCGTTGTCAGTCATCAGAGACATTTACTTTTCTGATGGTCTGGAGCCGTCTTCTGGGAGCCAGAACACAATCTCCTTGTCGGCGGAAGCCAGCATGTTATAGCGGGGGTTGTATTCCACCAGTGCAACTCGACCACGGTGAGGCAGCTTTGTCATTGGCTGCAGTAAACCATTGGCATCAGGGGTCTGCTGCAAGTCCCACACCAGCACATCCGGTTGATCGCCAGATCCTCCGATCACATATCGCCCGTCTGGCGAGAAGCATGCATCACCCTGTCCGAGAGGCTTCCCGGTTGTGGAAATAGGCGCAGCCCGACCCGGGGATCCAGCCCTACCAACCAAGAATGCTTTCACGGAACCCTCAAAGGCATCGAGGATGAAATGCCCATGATAATCGGTACCCACAAGCAGGTATTTCCCGTCATTCGAGAACTCAAGTCGGGTCCATGCTCTGCCGCGTGTTGACGGCGTGTATCGTTCCTCGTGAGGGGCAAGATCGAAGGTGGAGAAGGGGGACTTGTCGTAATTGCGGTAATCGTAGAGCAGAACGGAGGACGTAGACTGCGAAGCGACCGCAATGACCGATGCGGATGGGTCAAAGGCAACGAGGTAAGGTGTTGCGAGCTTCAGCCTACCCTGGGCGTTTCGGGAGCCGAGATCCCAGAGGGCGATAGTGTCGTCCTTGGAGCACGATATGAAGGAGTCGCCGCCAGGGGACAGAGCCAAACAAGTTACCTTATCTGTATGGCCGGAGAAATACCGCACGTAACCTTCATTGTGTAGATCAAGCAATCGCAGCGAATCTGGAAGGATAAGTACAGATCAAAACACGAGACACCGTGCTAGGAGACGTACCGTCGACTTTGGTGCTGGCATGCAGAACTTGACGGGAATGGTGTGTGAAGCGCGCCAGATGAGCCCCATACTTCTTGCTGGGAACGGACTTTGTAGACTTGCCCTCCTTGATGTCGAAGACTTGAATGGTGTCGTCGTCACCGGAAGCCACCAAGTAGTCACCCTGATCATCGAAATCCAACGACGTCACATAATTGGCACTGTCTTGCTTCGGGGGACGGAATGCCTATAATAACGAGAATGCATTAGAGAAGCAGTGCATACAGTTTCTAGCTAGCTCTTATCACTCACCTTGGTCGGGCGAAAGCTACGAATGATGTCCGACACTTTTTGAGTCTGGACCATCGGCTGCTGCGTCTGCTGCTGCGCCTGCTGCTGCGCCGCGGGTGTGGATTGTACCTCCGACATGCTTGCGATCAGATGAGCAACGGTCGCGTTGTGGACGATAGTATACAAGGCAGAAAGCCTATTTGAATATGGGGACACAAGCAGAACTGTGCGCGCCTGTAGCTTGTATCGTCCCTCGCTGAGGTGCTCTGATTAGAGCTTTATCGAATGCAGTGGTAAACGCGCCTTCCCCAGCCTGTTTGCTCGCGCTTGGAGCTCTCCCGAAATAACATTGTTCCGCCCCGCCGGCTATAATCGGGGGCTCTTAAGAGCTGACCTAAGCAGATCGGCCGATGGTCGGAGGCCCCGTGTGGAAAATGCAGCATGTTGACCAATTGAGAGTCACGGAATCCGAGCCGAACGTCAGAAAGTCGGACCCCGGCTGGAGAGCTGGCCTGCATGAATTGTTCATTTATGTTGGCTTGCAACCCTCCTTCGGCTGAATAATGCCTGACCGTGTCACCGACAACTGAACGTCTTACTCTCCAAATCTCACGCCTCGCCTTCTTAGGATCTCCTTGCCTGCTGTACAGCTAGACAACTCCGCCTTCTTACCACGGTCCAGATCCCAGCATTTTGCGCGCAAAGGCCAGTTGACTCTGCTCCGCTAGCGGAGACGATCCTTGAGCCGCCATGTCGACGACGACGGGGTTTGTCGCACTCAAATCGAAATTGTCATTTTCGCGATCGCGCTGACTCGATCGACTTTCTATCTAGAGCTTTCATTGCAGGAGGTGTTGCAGCATGTGGTGCGGTCACAGTAACTCACAGCTTTGAGACTGTCAAGATCCGGTATGATTGCACCCATGCGCTCCTGTCCTCACTAGCCAGCCGGCGCTCCACAATACACAGCTGACTTGATGGATATCCTAGTTTACAATTGCAAGGAGAGTTGCAATCCAAGACCGACGCGGTCAAGAAATACCGAGGTGTTTGTCACGGTGTCAAGGTGATCTTGCAGAATGAAGGGCCTCGCGGTCTCTTTCGGGGTATTGGCTCTGCCGTAAGTATCGCCCACGACGAGCAACAGGATGTCGCACGGACTAACGCGCTTCTCAGTATATCTATCAAGTCCTGTTGAACGGGTGCCGTCTCGGATTCTACGAACCTCTGCGCGGGAGCATCACAAATGCGATCTACAAAGACAGCCAGGTCCAGTCCCTGGGAATCAACGTCTTCGCAGGTGCCACGTCAGGCATCATCGGCGCTGCAGCTGGCTCGCCATTCTTCCTTGTCAAGACCCGTCTACAATCCTTCTCGCCGTTCCTTCCTGTCGGTACACAGCACAACTATCGCAACTCGTTCGACGGTCTGAGCAAGATCTATAAAACCGAGGGAGTGAAGGGATTGTATCGCGGTGTAGGCGCAGCGATGGTGCGCACTGGTTTCGGTAGCTCGGTTCAGCTGCCGACTTACTTCTTCGCTAAGCGTCGCTTGACAAAGCACCTTGGTATGGAAGATGGGCCCGCTCTGCACCTGGCCAGCAGCACGGCTTCCGGCTTCGTGGTTTGCTGTGTCATGCACCCTCCTGGTATGTTTGTCCCATATTGTATTCAAAGCAGCGTGATCAAACTGACCCTTTTTGCAGACACGATTATGTCGAGAATGTACAACCAGACCGGCAACCTATACAAGGGCGCATTCGATTGCTTGTTCCAGACCATTCGCACCGAGGGCATCCTTGCGATTTATAAGGGATACTTCGCCCATCTTGCCCGTATCCTGCCCCACACCGTAAGTCAAGAGCAGGGAATTTTGATGTCCGGCAACCAACCGCTAACTCTTCCCTAGATCTTGACACTCAGCTTGGCCGAACAGACCAATAAATACATGCGTAGACTGGAGGACCGGTTCCTCTCCGACTCACTCAAGGCTCGACTTTAAATAATTGACACCCGTCGAGCAACTTCAACTTACCTTTCCTACCTTGCGAAAATATTTATAGAGGCATTCCGGTATTTCCAATCGGGGTTTACATGGTTGAGTATTTAACATCTGCTTGCTCGGCTTGTTGTGCACATAAGGCGTTTCACCTTGATTAGTCGCGTGATGTTAGATATCATAGACCTCTAAACAAGATAAACTTAGTGGGTTCAGAAGAAGCACTCAAGCGACACCATTTGAGATAGTTTTGCGTGCGCAAGGGGATAAAGGTGCGACGGACACTTCAAGCTCCAGGTGAAAGCTAGAACAATTGTATCCTTGGTAGGACCCAAGTGGGCCCTTATATAGTTTGCCCCAGTAGAGACCAGGATTGTCCCAGTCTCCGAGATGATATCGTCGTAGTTCGCATGTTGTTCCTGTTGGATCGATAGCCCGAAGCGCGACGCCGTGCAGACACGGATTCCATCGCACCTGTGACGGCATACTAGGCACATTGTAACAAGATCTGGGTAGATTACAAAGATCGGTATCTATCCAAGCCAGCTCCAGATGATTGACTCATCCAGAGCACTATGGTCACACAGCGTTTTTGAGTAGGCGAGGTTGTGATCTTACGCGTCAACAGTCAAAACACGGCGGACGCGTCTCGGACATGAAGGACGTCATCACCGACCGGACGGAAACAGAACTTTGCCCAAAGCCCACTAATTGCGGCCCCAGAGCTCGCCATGAAATCTAGATTGGAGCCAGGCTACCGCATTAGGATAGGCAGCGGTGCCGCAGGGGCCCAGGGAAATCCCGTAATTCCGTGATGGTGGAGCAGGAGGACTTGGGAAACAGACCGGCGCGTCGCGTTCTGTGTGAGCACGGACATGAAAGTTGAGAAAACTTCGCCTCGGATTTACGCCAGTGGGGATCGGCAGCTGAGCTCAGCTTGATTGCTCAGGATGCCGTAAACGCTGCCTAAGCAACTGCAGTTATCTGTAAGGTACAGAAGACCGGTGAGGGTTCTAGGCATGGGAGGTGTTCATAGAGACCACCAAGTTTGCAACACCATGGAATGTCTGATAGACAGCAGCAATAGAGGCAGCGCAATTGACAGCAGCACGCATTCAGGAGCGAGAATCGCGATCGATTCAATTTGATCAGATAAGATAGGGAGGGGCCAGCATTAAGACCCGAGATGGAATAGCGCGGCGAAACACGAACGCGCTAGGGTACGGAGTACAAGCGGCAGAGACGCCGATGGTTGTGAACAGCGCAGTTTGTACCTTTCCAGGAATGTGGAGAGAGCTGTAAAACTTGTTGCAGGCTTGCAGCTGCTGGAACAGTGGAGTTCTAGAGCACCGGATGGACGACTGGCCGGTGGTCTGACTGGAGCAAAGCAAATGGCTCATGGGTCAGCCGTAGAGCGAAAATGGAATGAAAGACGTGTATCCATTACCGTAGACGCGACGGCATCAACAAAATGGGTCCGGACCAACCATGTTCCAGCCAGTCTCCCGGCCCCAAGTCGCGCCAAGTCACGTGCGACGTGACTTAGCCCGTCGCGCTAAGGATCACGCTCCTCGTCCCATGCAAGTATTTCTGTCTGCTTGTCCCTCCCCTTCGCAGCTCATTTTCTTTCTCTCCAGTCCATCACGATCAATTGTCTGGTGTGTTGCTGTGTTGCTGTGAACAATTGTCTTCAATTACTTTTCCACCATCTCCTTACAGCTTCACAATGTCCGCACAACTCACTCCCTCCAAGCAGGTAGGTGATGTCACGTCTTGCCTCCCGTGGACAACGCGTCGACGCGAGCAACCCAGCTAATCTACTTCGATGAATAGGCTGCTTCCTCGCTTGAGAACCTCAAGATGAGCGACTCTCCCGTCAAGAAGCTCAACTTCAACGCCGCTGGCAAGGAGAACGCTCCCGCCACCGCCGACGTCGTCGCCGAGAAGACCCTTGCCGAGAAGCCCGCTGAAGCTCCCAAGGTTGCTCCTGGTATCAAGGAGTTCGAGGCCAACGAGCCTCTTCTCCAGGAGAACCCTCACCGTTTCGTTCTTTTCCCCATCAAGTACCACGAGGTCAGTCGGCACGTCCCCCACGCGTCACGCGTAAAGTGGAATTTTTTCCCGCTCTGCCCTCAGGCGCCCCACCCGCGTCGAGACTAGTGCATTAACGTGTATTTTCGCGTCCTACAGATCTGGCAGATGTACAAGAAGGCCGAGGCCTCTTTCTGGACCGCGGAGGAAATCGATCTCTCCAAGGATCTCCACGACTGGAGCGACCGCCTTAACGATGACGAGCGCTACTTCATTTCTCACGTCCTTGCTTTCTTCGCCGCTTCCGACGGCATTGTCAACGAGAACTTGGTCGAGCGTTTTAGCGGCGAAGTTCAGATTCCCGAAGCTCGTTGCTTCTACGGTTTCCAGATCATGATGGAGAACATCCACTCCGAGACCTACTCCCTCCTCATCGACACCTACATCAAGGAGCCTAAGCAGCGCAACTACCTATTCGACGCCATTGATAACAGTATGTGTATCGTGCTGGGATTGTGATTGGACGAGAATGCTAACCTGCTGCAGTTCCTTGCATCCGCAAGAAGGCCGATTGGGCGATCCGGTGGATCCAGGACCGCGAATCCACTTTCGCGCAGCGTCTGGTCGCTTTCGCTGCCGTCGAAGGTATCTTCTTCTCCGGCTCTTTCGCCTCTATCTTCTGGCTCAAGAAGCGTGGCCTGATGCCCGGTCTTACCTTCTCCAACGAGTTGATCTCCCGTGACGAGGGTCTTCACACCGACTTCGCGTGCTTGCTCTTCTCCCACCTCAACAACCGCCCCAGCAAGCAGATGGTCGAGGACATCATCGTCGAGGCCGTCGGCATCGAGCAGGAGTTCCTGTCGGACTCTCTCCCCGTTGCCCTGCTCGGCATGAACGCCAAGCTGATGTGCCAGTACATCGAGTTCGTGGCTGATCGCCTGTTGGTGGCTCTTGGTAACAAGAAGTACTACAACTCCACCAACCCTTTCGACTTCATGGAGTCGATCTCCCTGGCCGGCAAGACCAACTTCTTCGAGAAGCGCGTCGGTGACTACCAGAAGGCTGGTGTCATGGCCAGCACGAAGAAGAAGGAGGAGGAGGAGACCAGCGCCTCGGCCGGCGGTCTCAACTTTGACGAGGACTTTTAGAAGAGTGATGCCACGATATACCCGGTTGTCGGCACCAGCCATGGCTACGAATAATTCTTGTTTGGATTTTGTGTTATGAAGCTTTGAGGTTTACACGCATGGGATTGGCGTTGGATGGGCGGATTTTCTTTTACACCTTTGTATCTAGCTAGAAATGTACATTGTTGGATAATATTGAGCATGTCTGAGTGCCACTGGTGAATCGCAGTCAAGGTATTGTAGTTTGTACGAAGTCGTTCTGAATAGATCCACACCTTAGCACCTATTCTCGGCTCATCTCAATCGGCTCACCTCCACCACAGTAAGTCCAAGGACGAACTTTTAAACCTGACCATCAACGCGGGTATCTCAATTCCTTCCTTTCCTATTTACCATCCTAGCGAACCCCTGGAGTTCATCAAGCATCAAGCAGACCATCGCTCTTCAAATATATCCACATAGTATCCTCCTACTCAGTCCCCAAGCATCAGAGAATCACCGCTTCCCCTTCCCGCCCTTCTTCTTCCCCTTCCCACTTTTACCCCCAGCCCCCGCCGCAGCAGCAGCCCCCTCATTCCCCTCCACACCCCCAGCTCCCCCCAAAGCGACAGGCGCAGGCACAGACGCAGACGCATCCCCCATCTCCACATCCCCCGCCCCCGCCCCAGCACCACCACCAGTTACCGCGCCCGCACTCCCCGAACCCAACCCCAACCCCTCTACATCCGCCCCAGCCGCCAACTTGCCCAGCGAGGAGATCAACCGCCCCACCTCGGCGCCCTTGTTGGTCCGGTATTTCAGGCAGATGCCGGAGCCGGGGTGGAAGGTCTTGAGGGTGAGGGTGGCTATGCGGGGTTTTTCTTGCGTTTGTGGAGTTTGTGACTGTTGGGTTTCTGAGGAGAGTTGTGTGGTTTTGGAGGCGGAGGTGCTGGAGGTGGTCTTGGTGGAGGAGCGGGTGGCGTGGGAGAAGGTGTATTTTGTTGTTATTTTCTAGGGGATTATCGGTTAGTTGTGGTGGTTGATGGGTGGGTTTGTGATGAGGTTGGTTTGGGGTTGGGTTGGGGATGGAGGGAGGGAAGGGGAGGGGAGGGAGGTGTGGGATTAGGTGCAAAGCTTGGTGAGCTGGGAAGTAGGATGGAGAAGGGTTGGTTTTATGAATATCGTACCGCATCAGGATATGCTTGCAGGAGCAGAGCGGATTGCTCCAGGTAGGCTTGTGGGGTGGGAAGGTATGGCATCTTGATTCGGGAGTTGTGGTCTCGGGATTCCAGGGACGATTAGATCAGGGGTGAGGATTTGACACAGTAAGGAAATAACGAGATGAGCGTGTAAGCGTGATTGAGGTGAAGGTAATTGTGTCACCTGGATGTGGTGGTGGATGATGCTTGGGATGCGTGCTGCATTGCGGGTTTTGGTGGATTTGACACTCCGGAGGTGCTGTTGTTGGCCCGGGCGGTGAGAGCTCGGGGCCGATCTGCCGACCTGCCACCTGCCGGGTTGGAAGCCCCCAAGTACTCGAGATGCTGGTCCGGGATAGATACAGTAGGTAGGTAAGTTACTAGGTATGTTGCGATCGTGCACATGGCGCTGGTTGATTCAGATCATTCGTCATTCGTCCCTCGTACCGACTGTACAGCGTAGGCTATGTATAGGCCATCCATCTATCGTACATACATACAAAAACATGAACTAATTACATCGAATCCTCTGCAGCATGTCCCACCCTCTACTAGGTATCCATCTACACGCACCAGAACTATGTGATCGGCTGGGCGCATCGCACGCAAACCAGCCGCTGTCTCCCATTGCGCCCCTTGGTCGCTCGGAAATTGGTGCCCGCGCAGTTCTCGCACCGGAGCACTTCGCCGTCCTCGCCATCGCCGTTGGACGACCCATAGTCGCTGCTCAAGGCACTCCCCAGGCTCATATTTCGTTCCCCCGGCACCGCCAGGTGGTTCGGACTGGGCAGCCCGCTGCCGCTGCTGGGCTTGCGCTTCTTCCGCATCGCGAGCGCGTCGCGCGCGATCTTGTTGTAGAACGCGTAGCTTTGTTCGCCTTGCAGCCACAGCGGGTTGTCCTTGTCCTCCCGCTTGACGAACGTGGTCGTCGACGCCGGGGGCGTCTGTTGCCCCTCGATGCCACTGGCGAGAACGCGGGGCGTCTCGGCGCTGGACCGACCGCTCTCCATGGACTGTTTGTAGGCCGATTGGGGTGGCGAGGTGGTGAACATCGACCGGGAGTCCGGTCGTGCCGCGTTGAACGACGCGCGGCCCGGGCTCGCATACCCTGATGGCCCGTCGCGGATCGACTTGTGCGGGGAGGGACTGCGAGTGCGCGGGGTCCGCATCCCCGACCGACTGTTGCTAGTACCGTGACGAATGACCGAGTTGCGCCATGAGATGATGCGCTCGGATGGCGTCTTGTGTGTGGAATCCTTCCCGGTGGAGGATGCGATGCTGTGGCGGGCCGAGTTGGTGCGCCGGAGAATCTTGCGGGAGATCGTGCTGTGCGTGTCCCAGTTGTCGTACCGCCGTTTCTGGTAGGCACAGTCCTGGCGCAGGACTTGGATCTTGCCGGAGTAATCGGCCACGATCATGATGTTCCCGTCCGGGTGGGTCGACCGAGCCAGATACGCCGGCGACTCTTGCTTGCTGGCTCCTGGATTGGGATGCGCCCGGCCGTTCTCCCGGTCTGCCTGGCTGATTAGAGTCACCGGTGGTGGGTTACATACGTCGAAGATCGGATCTTCGGCGAGTCCCAGTGCCTGCTTTGTTTTCGTGGGGGCCATGATGGCGGCCGTAACCATGGCCGAATGTGTATCGAACACCTCGACGGCCCGCTTTTCGGAGTCCTTCTCGATCGATTCTACCGGCCATAGATACGTTCGGCGATCTTCGCTGCCGCAGATGATATGTTTCCCATCATTGCTGAAAGACGCGCGGATTTGGCTGCAGGTATTCTCATTGCCGCGAAACTTGGCCTCTAGCGTCCTGTCGCGAAAGTTGTACAGCCGTATCCGGGAGTCGTTGCTGGTGATCAAAAGTTTGACCTCGCCATAGGGGTCGTTGCATGGCAAGGTCATAGTATCGATACCAGTAATTTTGCTGCCCTTGGCGTTGCGACCACGTGCGGAACGCACATGAATCTGTCCAACGGCCTTTAATCCATCTGTTTCGTATATATTACACAGCCCGTTGAGGCTTCCAGCGATGGAGTGCCGTCCATCAGGTGTAAAGGCCACGGCCGTGATCATATCGGGGACGGTCGCCACAAACGCCACACTCTTATCCGGGATACTCCATAGCCGCAGTTTGGTGTCTAGTGATCCTGCCAGGAAAAACCGATCATCTCGCGGGTGAAATTGGATCGATGTAACAAAGTCGCTATGCTTGAAGCAGCATAAGCACTCGGGTCGGCTCACATGCCAGAGTCGGACCGTCTTGTCCATTGACGAAGAGAGCAAGAAGTTGTTCTAGAAGTCTGCGTTAGCACCGATCCACACTTGGACAAGCCAGTGAAAAATACCTTGCTCCAGCTGAGATCAAGTACGCTTCCCGTATGGCCTTCGTAGACTTGGACCGGACGAGACTTGAATACTTGCGCGTTCAACCGGGGCGGACCATCATCACTATCTGATGCCGGATCGGCCGGGTCGCGGTCCTCGGGGGAGCCAACGACTTGCCAGACACGCACTTTCTTGTCTTGACCAGCAGCTGCCAGGTATTTGCCATCGTTGGAGAACACGAGCGCCCAGATCGCCTTGCCCGTGCTGGCCTCGTTTGGTACTCCTGTGGACGACACGGAGTCATCCTTGTCCGAGCCACCCGCAGCACCGGTTGCGCCCTCGAGCTCTTGCGCCACGAAGACTCGACTGAATGTCTTTTCCTTCTTGTTATGTGCTCTTACGCGGATGTATTTGGGAGGAGGCGGGAATCGAGGGAAGAACCCGATCGGCTGCGAAGCGGCGTCGGTGTCCATGCGAGTTGTTTCGGGCTCCGAGACATCGTCCTCGTCATTTATATATTGATCCTTCTTTTTTCCGGGTATGATACGACTCAGGAAAGAAACACCCTTCCTATATAACGGGAAGATCAGACGATCAGCAAGCTTGTTCCGTCAATTCCGAAGGGGGAAAAAGCAATGTGAGCCGCATGGCGATAATGCGGGGTAAAGGGTCTGACTTTAACAACAACAACGACGAACAAAAAAGGGTTCGCACTCACTTCTTCTCCTTGGATGCCTTCGGATGCATATTCGCATCGCCCCGATTTGAGCCATGGTCTAAGGAGCCACGATGATCGCCTCCGCCCGCTTCCGCTTCGTATGAGGCCCTACCCAATAGCTTCAAGGGGATAGACTTGTGGGTGTTGGTGCGCTTGATGATATGCTATCGGGAACGCACGGTCAAATCAGCCACCTAGACATCTAGACCACGGAAACAAGCGCGTCAGCCTTACTTGTGATAACGGATCGATGGCGCTCGAGTCGGTTGTCGATTGGAAGACGGATGGGGATGAGGCGGTGTTTTTCACGGAACCATTGCTTGGGTACTGCAAGGCGTGAGAGTGTCGTTTGCCATCTTGTAGGGGTCCGTTCGAGGCTGAAGCAAAGTCCGAGGGACTCGAAGCTAAATGTAGGGAGGGGGAGCCCGAGTCAGCAGCTGATCGATGATGGTGATTATTTGTCTCGTGACCGACTGGACGGACTTACCGATCGGAAAGGTTTGCGAAGAGCGAATCAGGCTGGGTTTGGAGGCATCGGGACTCTGATCGCTGCGGTTGAGCACCGTGGGGCTATTGCTCGTATTTGTTGTGCTGGTGGTGGAGGTCTCGTGGATAGGAATGGAGGAAGAGGAAGATGCGGTGCTGGTGACGATCGCGGGGACTGTCAAGGCCCGCGAAACCGCAGGCCCTCCTCGGTCTGGTCGCATTCCCTCCGCCATGATCCGGGTCTCGCCGGGAGCGGCGCATGAGAATGCCAGGAAACAATAGAAGGAATTTGACTTCGGGCTGTGAAGAAAAATAAGGGAGAATGTAGTCTAGGTAGTCTAGAAGGGAGAAAAATGTTATCTCGGAGAGAACCGAGTCGGAAGAACTGGGGAGAAGGGGGGGAAGATGGAGTGGAAGTTCGGGGACTCAAATGGAGACCCGCGGGATGGCCATGAATAATTACGAAGGTAATCTATTTGGGAACTGATAGTGAGGGTGTCCTGTCCGGATGAATTGCGCCGGAGTTAACCAGTAACCAGTCAAACCAGTAGATGACATCAAACAGGGTCTTTTCTGCCCTTGCGCTTTTCCGCTAACGAAAGGCTTGGTTTGGTCGAGACTCGAGGAGCCATGGATAGCCGCGAAAGAGGTCAAATTGTCTTGCCACTGTCAGACCATGTTCGCGCAGTTTTCGAGTCCGTAGTCTCACTCATAGAGGGTATATGTACAATCTTCGTCAAGTCGTCACACATCCATATCTTCTCCACCACAAGATCGATCGTAAAAGTGTGGAATGTGGAGAGAACGGAGTCAGGCAGAGTGATCATGATGACTGTCATCCATCATCATCAGGCACAATAATGCTTGCTTCCTTGGCAACGGCAACAATAACTTACCTACTCCATCATAGGTGCTAAACGTGCTAAACGAACCTTTCCGCTTTGGGCCTGGTCGGATGCTGCTTTGTGTTCACGGAGCGTGGGGTGGAACTGAAAAGTGCGTGTCCGTCCCGAGGTTCCCGAGCGATAATTACCTGCCTTTCGAACGCAACAACAGAAGCTCGATCACCATCTACTGCAGCCAACAGGCTGAAACATCAAGCTATGCAATGGATATATTGATTTAGTTTAATCTATATGATCGTCAACTATCTGTGAGACATATTATCGAACAACTTCAATCCCATCCCTCACTGCACCGTGAAAATATATGTCTGTAGAATGCGGGCGCATTTACACTTACACATTTATCTCCGTGATATGACTGCCAAGAAATACACATGATCGATTAGACGCTTCGCTACTGGAGACATGGTCATCCGTCAGCGGCTTCTTCAAGGCCTGGTGGTTGGCGACCTTTCGCAGCTCCTATAATTCCGCGAACCCCACCGACGCCCCGGGCACGCGGCTCTCATGAATGCTGAATGCAGCCGCCAAGGGGATGGCTAGCGCGTATATGGTGTTGCCAGGTGTATTCCGCAGATATGGGGTATACTGGAAGAAGAAGATGAAGACGCGTGCATAGACGAAGCTGTCCAGCGCATAAACCGAGAGACGATGGAGGTTAGGGTTCTGGAGCAAGTAGGCGAGCACACAAACGACGGGGCGCAGGATAGCTCCTGCTTGGTAGAGGAGCCGCGTAGTCTGGGGATCGCCGCGCCGGAGTGTCTTGACCAGCTGAAGACTGGTGGCTGACCAGGCTAGACAGGAAACCACGTCCATTGAGCTGGGAAGGATCCTATCATGGCCTAGCTGGACGCGTCGGAGGCGGTACTCGAAGACCTCAGAGAGCCCTGTGCCGATGTGAAGGGAGAGACCGATTTATACTTGGAGAACTTCACGTGGTAGCTGGGAGCGTGATATTGCGAGTGGTAGAAGATGATCACCACATACGACCACGCCGCAGCTAAAGGAGGTGGAGCGTTCCTTCTTGTTGTTCTTGCACATTCTCTAGCCTGCTAATCGACTCTATCCTTGAGTTAAGCTAGACTTATGATCGACTGTGTCGTCATGTTGAAGCCCAAACGTGCTTGCAACCAACCTCTGTGCTCTACGGTAGACTTATGCATTAACCAGACCGCTACCAGATTGGGGTAGGAACAGGAGGGAGAGGTTTCTCGGAACCGGAGCCCGAGAGAAGGTGTTTTGCCTCGTGCTGGTCGTTGTACCATGATTGTGCTATTCGAAAACAGGAAAGCTATGCTTTTATCTGCGTCGGGGTAGTTATCCTTGCTACAACACATCAAATATTTAGGTTTATGCTTGCTTCCGATACATAACGCTTCTTTTGAACGAGACTACTTCTCACTGGTTGTTTCTTCGTGCCGTGTCCAGCATGTTTCTGGCTTTTGTCTGACCAGAACTCAAGAGAATAGAGTCCATATGCCCCGATTTATGTATCCCCTCGTGTGGATGATTGACCTGGGATCACCGACGGTTCGATGGAGCTTCCTCCTCTTCTACGGAAATGGAACCTGAAATTGGTCAATCAGATAAGATGGATGCGGTGTTTTTGTCTGATGTCTGTACCATTCTCACCATCAAGTATGCACGTCAGCTTTTCCCCAAATGGTCAATGTTGGAATTGGGCAATCTGGAGACCCATTATGATATAGTGAAGCCTCTGGTATTGCTCATATGTGTTGTCGTATGTGGGATTGTGGTGCCAAGGTTGCAGAAAATGTCACTTCTTGGTCGTGGAAATAGATGAACAGTTCAGAATCCATGCTTTGGTCTATACATTACAAGGTTTGTAAGAAGTATAGGGATTCTGGCTGGTGGTACCGAAGCTACAGTACTAACCAGTCTGGGGAGCAAACCAAGGGATTCGGTGCGTGTTCAGTGAACAGCCAGTGAGTTTGCCGAAAGCAGCGGCAGTCTTGCACATGGCCGCCACAGCTGAGCCCTCGGACCCTGCCCAGCCTTGATCAACTTTCCTCCTCCAATCGATTATTCTCCCCTCTTCCGAATACACCGAACCAGGTGGTTGCACTTCAGCGTCGCACTGTGCCACGTTGATCGGCTAAATTGACCACTTGCCGTGTCATGCTCACGTCTTCCCTTTCGACTTTCGACAGACTATGGTTAAATGTGAAGAGGAGCATCCGATACCATATCAAGTGCCTGTGGTCTCGTGTCATTTTCTTCACTTACTGCTTACAGACTGGAGATACACGGGAATAGAACTAGACCAGCCCATCTCGCCCTTCCACTTCAGCCTTTTTTACACCACACCTCCCACATTGTCATTCTTTGCATAGGCCACCCGGTAAACCTTGTACCAGGGCCGCTGGAACAAACTATCCAGTGACTCCAAAGACCGTCCGGTGGTATCCTGAACAAACTTAGTGACTCCGTCCACGTGGAATCCTCGAGACCACCTCACTAGGGGGACACTTACCGGCATCGCAAAGAACACATAAATCAGAGAAACAAAACAGATGCAGGCGAAAAAGGCGAATGCGCCCCATTCTTGCATCACTTCCAGCATATCAGGAGTCGCCCGAGAACATCCGAAGAAGAACACCCAGTGAAAGGCCATGCCCATCGAAACAGCCAGCGATCGGATACGGATTGGGTACACTTCTGCCCCGATAAGATACGGCATGCCATGCCACCCGATGTTCCACCCCACCCCATGGATAAAGATAGCTGCCACAGCTCCCGTCGAGGCTCGAGATACGCTCGGGGTATTGGCAATGTGAGCCGCGGTCATCGTGCGAGCTATGCCAAGATAGCACGCCAGGTAGACCAAGGTGGTCGTCTGAAGCGTGATTCCCGTCATGAGAGACCTCCGACGTCCGATGAAATCAATCACCAGCAACGAGAAGATCAGGCAGCTGACAAACTTGACCACAGCGTAGAATCCGGTCGCTAGCGAGGCGGTCTCACTCGGCATACTCAAGTAACCGAAGATCGTGGGGAGATATTGAGTGATCGCACTGGCGCCCGACCATTGCGAGAATAGGTGCGCCATGAAGACAAGCAGGAAGCGGCGTCGATTTTCGACTGGAAGTAACACTTCTTTCACCAGGTCCCACTGCGTCGCTCCCACAACAGCCTCCCGCTCGTACAAGATCTGCGATTCCATGATCTGGATGTCGGAAATCACTTCGGCATGACCATTGGGCAAGCCGCGGAGTCGGGATACCGTGGCAATGGCTTGTTCGCGCCGGCCGACGTATAGTAACCACCGAGGAGATTCCACACACAGAAATGTCCCAAGCCCCCAGATTACCGCCGGTACCAGCTGGAGGAATGTAGGAACCATCCATTGCAGGTCTTTCCCGTCATACGTTTTGGTGATGCCATAGTTGATGAAGAAGCCGAAAACAGAACCCAGCTGTTGGCAAGTCGAGTACTGAATAGCAAGAAGTCCGCGAATTCTTTTCGGTGCAATCTAGACGCCTGATAAGCTGACACTCCCACTCTCCATGTTGATGAAGATGTGTTACCTCCGAAATATACATCGAAGGAACGACAGTGATTCCACCTCCACCCAAGCCAGCGATGAACCTGGATGCGTAAAAGGCTGACAGGTTGCCTTTGCTGAGCGCCTGTCCGGCGACTCCTGCTGCATAGATCAACGTTGACAGACGTAAGCTCCATTTTCGTCCCAAGCGGTCATTGACTGGTAAGCACTTTTGGGACTTCGTTAGCAAGTCAGGTACTCATTAGATTTTGGGATTCGGCTTACAGCCAGACAGCCAAAGATTGACCCAGCTGTGAAAATCGACACAATCCAGCCTTTCGTGTTGGCATATTCGTCTGGTGACTGTCTATCGATCCCAAACGCGACGCGGAACTGGGACTGCACGACAAGACATGCGATGTTCGCTGCTGGATTAGATGTCTGACGGTTTGGACGGTGGAGCTTTGCCTCTCACCTTCATCAAAACCCTTACATATCCCTGCCAATGCAAAAATGATTGCATTCATCAACAGATAAGAGTTGAGAGACCACTTTGGAGGCTCCTTTGGAGGCTGGCCTATTTCTGTACTGAGCCCCATGGTTGCCCTTCAATACTCACTCACTTTCACCGCGGTCCCTCCACGCACAATATATACAATCCTATCCTTTCCAAGGGCACAACAGGGTGTAAGTATCCTTGGCATAAATGGCGCACGAATGTAGCGCGACGAAAATATCTCATGACTGCATCTCATGCGTCCGAGGCAAGGAGTCGTCCCTCACGTACAACTGTGACCAGTTTTCTTCGCAGAAAAGTCCTATCAGCCGGCAGGTAGCTTCAAAGCGAATGATACGGCTTTCTCGAAGCATCCGTCCTCGAACGCATTATGCCAACATTCCTCCTGAGCATGAGCAAAGGCTCGCGCATACCTGTCGATATTGCTGCATCTGCCAGGAATCGATGATTTGCAGGATGGCCCAGCCAGTTTCGACATTTTCAACAATCCCAGATCAGTCGGCTACTATGTTAGTAGATCAGGTTGCATTGCAGCAAGTAGCAGCGCATATGAGAATTCGGAGCTGACCACGGCTTGAACGATGTCGACGGATATATGCTAGGGGGTCGAGGTCTCGATCGCCTGGACTCGAGAAGACTTTTAGTTCTTATTGTATTCCTAGCATTCTGCATCTACTTATCTCGAGCTGAATACTTCTGCTGCTCGCGTTATCCGAAGCTCGCCATTTTGAGGCTTTTACTGCTTCGAGTGCCGATTTCAGGGGCCCAGGAGCCGAACCCGAGGGACCATGCGCACTCTGATTTCGTTTTGTACCTCTGAGGCCCCTAGGGATATGTGAGGAACCTCGGGCAAAATCATGTTATAGTGCTATTCTCGCTTGATCCTCCCCACTGAGTGGAGACTTTCCATGGTCGTTTCGTGTGATGCCTTATTCACGATTTGATGGGTCCTGGGAGGCCCGTCCACTACAAAATCAACAGAGGACATGGACTATCACCTTTTAATGAACAGTCTCTGCCTACTCGGGTTGTCTCTGAAAGACTTATTTAATAATGGCTTCACGCACCACCTAAGAAAGGTACATGATGTATGATGTGAACGGATTGATTGGAATGGACGAACTAAACAGATCAGAGCCAAAAACCCTTATCATCTTCCACAAGATGAATAACTGCCATTACTATGGAAAACTTCCTACAACTATACTTGATTTAGAGCCCGACAGTCCACGGCTCAAAGTTTAGCCAATAGACGACGCTGAAGCTTTGATAGATTAGAAATCGAGACCCTGAAAATGTACCCACTATGACGTCCCACTCTTCATGTGGATATCTTCATAATACCCCATTTGAACCCTCAACAACGCAGTCACGACTCACAATTATTACTTTTGGATGACAAGAAGAAGCCAACTCTCAGTATGTCGCTGCAAGGACTTAATGTGCTCATTGTGCGTGACAATCTCCTAGTCCTGAATGTGGTCCAAGCTAATATAGCTGCAGACTGGAGCCTCGATGGGCATTGGCGAGGCGATTGCCAATTCAGTAGCAGAACAGGGCGCCAATTTGATTCTGTTCGCACGGTCGGAAGTAAGAAAGTTCGGGGAATCTTACCACGACAAGAAATACACACCATACTAAAACATAAGTAGGACAAACTCCAAGTCCTCGCGAGCAGGATCCAGGAACAACACCCAGGTGCCAAAATCATCAGCAAAGCAGTCGACATCCAATCTTACGAAGCAGTCGAGTCCGCGGTGGAATCCAGCACCCAGGAGCTCAATCCGATCGACATTCTCATCAACAATGTCCTCAAGCCCTCTTCCATGCATGCTACCACACAGCAAACATGACTGACCCCAAAACCAAAATAGGCCGGCCTCGCTCTCGGCGCCCCCGCCCCCTTCCACGAGCTCAAGATCGCCGAAATCCTGACCATGAACCGCACCAACATCGACGGCTGGATGTTCGTCACCCACGCCGTGCTGAACGCCTCCATGATCCCCCGCAAAGCCGGCACGATCCTCAACATCACCTCCGTCACGGGGCTGGAGGTCCCTCCCTTCTCCGGGGAGTGCGTCTACCACACTAACAAGGCCGCGCAGGAGGGGTTCACGAACGCGCTCCGCAATGAACTGAGTGGCACGAACATCCGAGTGCTGGCGCTGCGGCCGGGGTGTGTGGCCACGAATTTCCACTCGCTGCGCGTGGGGCATGATAAGGAGATGTACGATCAGTTTTTCGAGGGGTATCAGTATGTTGTCCCCTTGACGGGTTGGTGTAGGGAGAAGCTTGGGTAGGAGCGGTTGCGCTGATTTGGGGATTGCAGGCCTTTGGTGTCGGAGGATATCGCACGCGCAGCCGTGTTTATGTTGCAGCAGCCGGTGAATGCGTCGGTTAAGGCGCTGGATATTGTTCCGTCTGGTGAGTGGATGTGGGAAAATTCTGGTGGTCTACGGGTGCACTGACATTCTGTTTCCTAGCCCAACGGTCGCTGAATGTGTTTGACCGGGAATGGAATCAGAGGAATGCTTGACTCGGTATGGGCAAGCCATTGTCTATACGGTCAGACGACCCAAAATGATCGAGCTCAAGCAAGCTGTAACGATGGCGAGGATGTGCAGCGCCTTGGAGGCAAACGAAGCTACACCAGGCTTCTTTTGCGTGCAACATACAAAGAACCACTATCAGGCAACTATCATCGCAATTCTAGGCTCGACTCTGCATACCTAATCTTATATAGAATGGTGGTGAAACAGCCCAACTGTCACAATGGATCTCCGACCATCTGAGATTACTCTAGAATCCAGTTTAACTTGTGCAGCACGTGTGTGCAAGCAAGGGGCTCGAATGACATCACAAGTGCATATCATCTCCACGTCTTGGAGAGCCGGGAATTGAGTTCTAGGCATCGATAGGTACTATCATAAGCAATCTAGCGATGAACGTTTCTTACGGATAGAGATCTTTCTCTTGACCACGATTGCAACGAAAGTTCGGAAGATGGGAGGTATATCATGGGCATAAGTGTAATAGCCGTGCGGGAATAAGTTATTGTACTGTACTCCCGGCTGTTGTAATTATGAATCCTCCTATGCAATAATGTCCGAAAGGCAACTGAAGCTGTGGGATACCAGTGAGTCAACCACAGATGTCGAGAACAATTGCAGTAAGCAGCTTGAATAGTGGCAGTCTGTTGGTTCCCCACTCGGCTCCAAGGAAGAACTTAGCATGGGCGCAACTCGGCCCAATCCCACCGAGAAGCCGCCTCCGTCATTTGTTCTCCACGTTCCAACCTTCCCCGCAAATCATTCCGAGCCGGAGAAATCCCAACATCTTCAGGCTGGCTGGCTGGCATTCACAATCATGAGTGAGAGGATCTCGGAATTACGCTTCCGGTCGGGGAATGCCCCTCCGCGCTTCTTCAAAGCATGTCGCTGGTGCAGGAAACAGAAAATGCGTTGCGACGCCCGCAGTCAGGTTCCCTGTGCGCGCTGTCGCAGCGCGGGTCGCGACTGTGTTCTCGATCCCATCGTGGATGGGAGGCGGCGCAGTCAGCGCCACGAGTCTCCCCGACCTCCTCGGTAGGTGGAATCGGATATTTATCCGATGCACTATACTGGGCTGACCCCATGTGTAGACGACAGATAGCAAGATCCCCGTGGAATGAACCGACCGGGTTCACCACCCCCTCGACCCGCGAGCCAGAATATTCGCCTGGCCCGGTCGTACAGGAGAATCCGCTGGACAGCGCGCTCGATTCCCTGCCTGACTCTGGGGACCTCCGCTCACCAGGCGCCTCCGAGAAACACGGTCAAGACAGCAGCCAGCAGTTGAGTCCCAACGATATGATTGCCCCCGTCTCGGTCGTACACTCCATGTCGGTGAATCTGCTCGGGTCCAGCAGTGTAAGTCGCGCTCATAGTACCGAGCACATGTCGCTAAACGCGTCAGCAGATCTTCATGGATACTTCAAACAAGGCCGACCTGAGAAGTGATATTATCGCTCGAGGCATCATCAGCGAGGAGCAGGCACGGTCGATGTATGAACGGTAGGTCGAATAGCATTCACTCAAGCACTCTCGAGCAAGGACAACGTTGACCCTCGATTCCAGGTTCTTCAACGGCAGTAAGAACTTCCTTGCCTTGTTCGATCCGATTCGGGACACCTTCGATTCGATCCGATCGCGCTCGCTCTTCTGCTTCTCGGTCATGATCTACATAGCCAGCCGGGCGGTGCTCGACCTCCGCAGCAACACCCACCTGCAGCGGGTACTACAGGATGAAGCACAGAGACTGGCTGAGGACAGTTTCTTCGAGCGACCGACCAAAGTCGAAACTGTCCAGGGGATGGTTCTGCTCGCGGCCTACTCGGAGAAAACCTGGTTCTCCACAGCGCTGATCCTACGCACTGCCCTTGACTCGGGGCTCGAAAAGTCGCTAGACACCCTGCTCTCACAGCAAAATGTACCTCGGAGCGCGCTCTCCGCCACTTTGGAAGAGCGGAAGCTGGTGTGGCAGACTAGGACTTGGCTCATCAGTTTCACACTCGAACTGGATGTCGCGTCCGGCACAGGTCGGAAATCGAGAATTGACGCTGTTGATACTACGAAACTACGCAAGTTCCTGGATTACCCGCTCTCATTGCCTTGCGATATGCGCACAATATGTATCATTGAGATTCACCAGCTTCGGAGTAAGTGGACGCTTGACTTTACCTCTTAGTCCTTTCTCTGAACTTGTTAGGCCAATTCCGGATGATTGTCGAAAACTCGAAGACCATTCACGAAATTGTTGGCGTCGAATTACCGGCTGTCATGGCAAGATTACAGACATGGTGGAATACCTGGGATGAGATTCATAATAGTAAGGCTCCATTTCCGCGCAAACATGCTTGGAGAGGCTGACTGAAGGTGTCTTAAAGATAATGGCTTTCATGCGGGCGCATTTCAACGCTGCAGTCTCAAGTTGATGCATAACTATGCTCGGATATTTGCATTTTGCGCATCGTTGGCGCGGATCCAAAAGCTACAGTGTGGCAGCACCGAATCGGACTCAGAAACAGATGATCCGGATGTTTCCCACTTATGGCGCTCGCTTGCCTCAGCAACCATGGACCAACTGGGTTTGATCATATCAGAAACATCCTACCGATGTCAATTGACATGGACTCCTACGTATCCAGCTTTGACAATCGCATTTGTCAGTGAGTGGTCCCAACAACCATAATCCCTGGTGTGCATGGTGACACCTAACATCTGACCCCATACAGCAACATTCGCCTTACGAATCGCAAGATGGAGGCCAGACTTGATTGATCAAGACCTGCTCCTTGAACGGGCCCAACTCATATGTGACCTTCTGAAGCAACCCCCCTACCCGGATATCCACCGGACCGTGTCGATCTTTGTCAACTATGGTCGCGCGCTTGTCGCGAGCCAGCGCGGACAGGGCGACGATTGCTTCCATGCCCATGAGGATAGTAGGCGTGTGAATGAGCAGCTGGTTTTGAACAAGGATCTAGACGGCAATAAAGTACCCATGTCGTCTGCATTGGCACCGTCAGAGCAGCCCAGCTATGGAGCCACGGAGACGATTCACCAAGGGGTCAAAGACACTGACCTGCTTTCGATACCCAATACTGACAGATCTGCCCCTCCCAGGCAGTTTCCACCCCGGCCACCAGGACCAATGGAAGCTCCCAACTGGAATTTATGTCACCCGATTGCCGATTCGTTCGGTTTGTTCGAGGAAGAACAGAATGACATATTCGACTTTCTCCCTGCGATGCCTTCTATGCCGCAGTAACCGACAATATGAGACAGCGTACTACGGCTAGCAGCACATTCTTGATGTGGGGCCAGGTGATGGTGATGTATGGGCGATAAAATGTGTGGCCCGCACGAAGACAGGTAATTCCTGACACGTCTGTGGAAGCCACGCTTGTCACGCAGTCGAGATTCACATGCGATAGTCTGTATGTCGACAGAAAGTCAAGAATGGTATGCGAGTGACAAGATAATTCTGCGACAAAGTTGCGGTGGGCTCGCCAACCGGACATGGGTCATGTCCCAGCCAATGCTGTAGAACGGGCTTGGGACTCTCTGCATAAGTGCCCTGGTGTCCAGTGATCGTCCCTTGAAGTGGGCCATTAGCGTGCTGCATGACGGGCTCTTGAAAATTGTGGACTCACGATGTTCTAGACTGTTGCCAACATCAAACCTGTGAACCGGCTCCAGGTCGGGGCCGTTGTGTGGGCATCCCGCTGCGCCGGGGCCGGACCGGGCCCGGTCTGGCGATTGACAAGATCCGAGTAAACAAGGTCTCCCATTGGGCATTCAAGACATACTCCAAGCCAAGAGCTCCATCAAATGCCTCATGGCTTGCAGAGTTACGTTGTTATCGTGACTCACTGATACCTCACCTCTGTAGGGTCCCACAGGTGACAAACTTATATAACGTTCGTTGTCCGCAATGGCGAAGAATGACGGTATACACAAATAAAAGTTCAGATTCACTTGCATCGTTTGTTTTTTGAGGTCGACTGCTTTTGTTATCACGAGAGACCATGGCTTCAGATTCCGTAGTTGAGGGTTCTAAACCCAGACTTGTTGCTGCAGGTAGGAGCTCGAAGCGCACCCTTGCAGAGTTCACTTCTCATGCGACATACCAGATGAAAAGCATATTAGCCACAACGGTCGAATTCTATCCGGCTTTTCAGAAGCTCCGAGTGCAAAGATTACAGAGGGATATCAGTTGACCCGATTGATGGACGACCAAATTGTGGTAGATTTCGATCACGACTCGATAGCACATCCTACCAACTGGAGCCATGTATGCGTCCTGGGTGCGGTGCCGGCAGTGTCATGTTCCATAAGCTGACCAATTGCTACAAACCAACAGGCCAAAAAACTATATACAGTCCTCGCTTCATTGTTCTTGGTTCTGAACTCAGGGATATCGTCTTCCTTGCCTAGCAACGTGGTCCCGTACATCATGGAGGATTTCGGCGTCGATGGAGGCTCGCAAAAGGTGCTGCCAACGGGAGTTTTTCTCATCGGATATGTCGTCGGTCCTTTGGGATTCAGTCCGCTAAGTGAAACCATTGGACGAAAGTCTGTCCTACTTGGAAGCTTTACAGTCTTTGTTCTAGCGACACTTGCCTGTGCTTTCGCTCCGAATTGGCCATCACTATTGATCTTCCGGTTCATATGTGGTGCGATGGGTGCTGCACCGCAGACCGTTGTTGGTGGTGTTTATGCGGACATGTTCTCGAACCCTCGGAACCGTGGCCGTGTGATGACCTTTTATATGTCTGTATGTTGATCGAGCACCCCTTGCTGGATCTAATTGGACACAAAGTAACCGAGAGAAACAGGCTGCAAGCTTCGGGCCAATTGTGGGACCAATCATGTCGGGGTGCAGCGCACAATATGGTTGGCGCTGGACCTTTCGCATCGACCTGATACTGGCTGGAAGCTGCTGGATTGGGGCGCTATTTCTTCCGGGTACGTTTCCAGTGATATGCCGCGTGACGGACTTCGTGCATACTGACGGGCTGCCGAGCAGAGACTTTTGCGCGCGTCATTCTCCAAAAGAAAGTGAAGGAGCTGAACAGCACCTTCAAGACAGACAACTACATCTCCCAGCTGGAATTGAAAAAGGTGGAAGTGAATTCCAGCCTTCTTGAAATCTTCACCAGACCTATTACTATGGTCATCTTCGAGCCTATTATCCTGTTCAGTGCTCTTTATATTTCATTTGCCTATGCTCTCATTTTCTTTTGCTTTGCCGCATATCCCATCATTTTTGAAGGTAAAGCACTCCGAAGTATCTTATCTTTCTTGATGAATGGCATAATGACGGAGGCGATACAGGAACCTATGGTTTCAATGTGCAGCAGACTTCGCTCTGCTTTCTGCCCAGTATGACTCGCAAGTCCCCACCTATGCTTACGGTGCTAATAAAAAAATACAGTTGGCATTGGCGCGGCCTCATCCGGCCTCATCTCTCTTTACTACGACATCTATTACGAAAAAGCCAAAGCCCAGGGCAAGAAGTGGACCACGATCCCGGAGTACCAGCGCCTGCCGATTTGCCTGATTGGTGGCCCCTGTCTCACCATCAGTCTGTTCTGGCTTGCTTGGACGGCCGACCGCCACGTCTACTGGCTGGTCCCAGTGCTTTCCGGGTTGTTCTTCGGCGTCGGCTATCAGGTCCTCTTCATCTCGCTCCTAACGTATGTCACCGACGCGTACAAGATCTACTCCGCGAGCGCGCTGTCTGCCTCGCTCATCACCAGAAGTATCCTCGGTGCAGTGTTCCCGCTGGCGGCCGACCCCATGTACTCTGCATTGAGTGTGGGGTGGGCGACGTCGATCCTGGGATTCGCGAGTCTGGCGTGTATTCCCATTCCGGTCATGTTCATCTACAAGGGGGAGTGGATTCGGAGGAAGAGCCCGTTCTGTCAGCGGTTGATGGAGGACGAGAGGAGGCGGAAGGAAGAGATGATGGCGACTAGGCCTGCTACTCCTGTGGAGGTGGTTTAGAAGATGGAGGGACATGATGTTATGATGTTATGAAGCTTAGATCGCGAGATGACTGATAGAGTAATGCTTAATGACGAGAGATAGAGTGGCAAAATAGATTGTGGGTTTAGTGGCCAAGTTGATTGCAATATTAAAGCAGAGAAAGGATACCTTCGAGCTGTAATGACATTCAGGTAATGACTTGCCTGAAGATTGAGGCTGGCAGGAGAAGGAGGACTTGAAAAGGACCTAGCGTGCACCCGGATCTCATCCTTCTCTCTTGATCAGCAGTTCGTTCGCATGCACTTCTGAACTCACTGCCATTCGATCTTTCAATTATCTTCAGCTTGTCTACGATTACTTTTCCGATTCGCTTCTCCGTGGTGCTGCTCCAGTGACCTTCAGGTTTGAATCCCGCCATTATACTTACTTTTCTGCATCCAGATTCTCAGAATGATCTACCATAGTACGCTACTCGGAGCACTAGATACTTTGACAGTCGCCATCGAGCCGACTGCATTGTACAACGGAGGCTACAATTCTGCTATCGATGTGAAGCTTCGCATTGGGAATGGCGGTGCTGGGTAGAGCGGACTCATCGAGGGTCAGTATCTGCTACAGAGTTGCTCATTGTAAATCCTCATTGACTGACCCAACGTCTTGTCACAGCCCTGGCAGATGGTCTCATCAAGATGAGCGTGGAACACGGTTCCGCACCATTCAAGGTCGCCTGGTACAAGAGTGGCACAACCGAGTCCATCCATTACCTGAAGGACGACACTGGACATGGGAATTACCCACAATCCTGCCGCAGAGTCGCTTGCCATCCGACAGGGCGTAGCCAAGGGCCTGCCTGGTACGCCTGGCGCGACCACCTTCTACTGGTTGGCCCTCACTCCAACCCAGCTCAAACTAAACAAGACCGACGACATCTTGACCATGTTCTCCAGCCTCTACACCGCGGCCGAGAACGGCGGCGCCCCTGTCCCGTTCCAGGTCCCTCTCACGGTATGACAAGTCCGCCACAAACATCAAGGAGTCCGACCTTTGGATTGGCATTGGACAGGTACATTGCTCCAGTCCCGCCGTGGTCGCACCGATGCTCATCTCCCGGCTACTAGGTTCCATGGGCGACGGCATACTCCACGTGGTACCATCACAACATCGCCTATCCCGTTCAGACGCTGTCCGCCGCCATCCTTCTGGAGTAGCACACCGTTACAGATCGCGGAACCTATCTCGCAATCTCAGAGGATCTGCAGAGCCAGACGGCCATCTGCAAGGCGGGGACCGACAGTTCGCGTGACCCTTTGCTCGACCCTGCCCACATCCTCGTTGGCAAGGGGCCGCAAACGCCAAGATGGCAGGCAGGTTTGCCCAGTGGGCTAGAAGCAGTGAAGGACCGGCTGTTATTGCTGGCTTCAAGAAGAACGGACAGCAGCTGTACACGGGTGCCCCGGCTAACAAGACTGCCCATTTTGAAGACCTTAGCCAAAGAAGGGACTACTTAGAAGGAGTTATACGTGTTTACTAATTCTAGCTAGTAGTCGTAAGGGTAGACGCTCAGACTGTTCTGGATCATTTGTTGCATCCAGTATGTTGAGCAATATTCAGCATGCTCCACTTGTGGTTGGTAATATTTGCTCCCCTGCTAAGTCAAGCAGGTACTAGGTATGACACTGCCGGTCTGAGTGACACATCCTCTCCTCCAGCCTCCCTCCCTCTCCTGTCCAAACCTCCTCTCGTCACCATCCTCTGCTCATATCTATCCTTCTCGCACACCCCATCTGACCAATTCAACCCTCGTCGTTATTCGCATCTTCCACATAGTCCAACTGACCTCGTCACAACGCAATCATGATCCTCAAGACCCTTCTCGTCCTGCTCCTGGCTGGGCTCATTGCCGCCCAGGCGACCGTGACCGAGATGTTCATTGGGATCATGGAACCGCAAACCGAAGGCCTCATTGCGTCCGTCATGGGCGAAGTGAGTCCCTTTGTTTCCCGTGCCCACCTGACACCATCTGCTGACGCTCCGTATCCCAGAACGCGGACGAAACCACCTACCTCGTTACCTGCGTGACCCCCCAGCAAACGACCCCGGTGACATCAGGATGCAGTCTGGCCGCAGACGTGACCGTCATAGCCAAGCCATCCACGACCCAAGTCTTCAGCACCGTCACGAGGGACGACTTGTGAGCCTAGCCTGCCTGGCTACCTATCTTCACAGACTCTGTCTAACCCACCGACCAAAAGCATCGGCTACGAATCCATCATCTGCGCCTTCGACAACTCGCCCCTGGTCACCTGCACCCAAACCACCCACATGCAGGGGTCCCCGATGCACGCCTACCACGAAACGTGGAGTGCGATCGACCAAGCCGCCGGCTACGCCCTCGTCACTCAGAACCTCACGCGCTTCCCGGTGACCATCACCGCTGGCGCTGGCGCCGTGACTTCGACGGCTACGGCGACCACCGACGAGGTCTTCACGCTGTTAAGCTCGTCGGTCCCCACGGCCACCGTGACGGTTCCCCATGTGGTGGGTCCTTCGGGCTCGAGTGCCAAGAATCATACTTCGGGGAGTGGGATGACTACTGGGAATGCTGGTGGTACGGTTACTGGCTCGGCGAACGGGACGGGGCACGCCACGTCGACGAACGCGGTGACCTCGTCGAAGAGCCAGGGTACCGGGCCCTTGGTTACTGGGGAGGCGATGGTGGTGGCGGGCGTTGCGGCTGTGGCGCTTGCGGCTGCTGTTGTTCTGTGAGGGTTGTCAGGGGCTGTTGTGGGGGATGGTGCTTTGTTCAGCGGTTGTCCTTGCAGACGGTTGTTTATGTTAGTAAGACTAAGATGTAAGTGAAGAATGATTTGAAGGCATGGATTTGCCGGTTGTTAAGTGATAGCAGTTTTCGGTAGTTGTTGATTACATTATGGGGGGCTGATATGTGCGTAGCTCGCTCATATCAAGTACTAAGTTAGTACTACTTCAATCATAACCGGAAATACTATCTGTCCGCGGTCAGGTGGCTAGCACTGGGCAACTTAACGCCGATTCCCGATCGGGGTTCGGCCGCAACATGCCGGGCGCTCCACAGCGTGTGTATAGTCGGGATAGGACCGCAGCTCCCCTCCCGGATCACCACATCGCCATCGCGACCAACCGTCAATTACTGCCGCGGTTGCGCACAACCAAAGGAACCTTCGCAGCAATGTTGCGGTTTTCTATAAATCTCCGACGCACTACTGAGTCTTGTGACGACCAAACGTGAACACCATGTCCTCTCCACCACCAATCCAGCCCGACTTCGCCGATCGAACCGACTTCGAGAATGCCACCCGAGGCTTCGTTGCCGGGATCGAGCCATGCATCATCCGCAGCTCGGACGGGCGGATTGTCTACAACAATGAGGCGTACGCCTTCCTACGCAACTCCGAATGCCCGGAGACGGCCAATCCGAAGCTCTGGCGCCAGGGTCAACTGGCCTCCGTGCAGGGACTCTTCGAAGTGACGCCAGGGATCTACCAAGTTCGCGGGTTCGATTTGGCGAATATGACCATTGTCGAGGGCCACAAGGGCGTGATCGTCATCGATCCTCTGACCTCGGTGGAATGCGCCCACGCCGCGTTGACTTTATATCGGAGCCACCGCGGGGACCGACCGGTGACCGGAGTGATCTACTCACACTCGCACATTGACCATTTCGGCGGCGCTCGCGGGGTCATCACGTCGCCAGATGAGGCGAGGACGTTGCCTATCCTCGCGCCTGAGGGGTTCATGGAGGAAGCGACGAGTGAGAACATCTATGTGGGAGCGGCGATGCGTCGGCGGGCGGCCTTCATGTACGGGACGCGGCTGCCCAAGAGTCCCGAGGGACAGATTGGCTGCGGCATTGGGATGGCGGTTTCGACGGGAACGCCCTCGCTGATCCCGCCGAACCAGCACATCACCGCAACCGGGGAGGAGAGGGTCGTCGATGGGGTGCGCATCCGCTTCCAGCTCGTCCCGGAGACGGAGGCGCCGTCGGAGATGAACTTCTTCTTCCCGGATCATCGGGCGCTGTACATCGCGGAGTGCGCCACACATTCTTTGCATAACATCATCACCCTGAGGGGGGCGCTCGTCCGGGATGCGAAGGCATGGGCGCGGTATCTGGACGAGTCGCTTGTCTTGTTCGGGGAGCAATCCGACGTGTTGTGCGCGGGCCATAACTGGCCGACCTGGGGTCGGAGGGAGATCCAGCAACTGATCACGGAGCAACGAGATTTGTATGGATATCTTCATGATCAGACCGTCCGGATGATGAACACAGGTCTGACGGGGATCGAGATCGCCGAGACCCTGGCTCTCCCGCCCGCGCTGCAGCGAGCCTGGCATGCACAAGGGTTTTACGGGTCCGTCAGCCACAATGTCAAAGGTATCTATCAGCGTTACATGGGGTGGTTCGACGGCAACCCGGCCCATCTCTGGGAGCATCCGCCCGTGGAAAATGCAAGACGTTATGTCGACTGCATGGGCGGAATCGAGGCGGTGGTTCAGAAAGCTGAGACGTACGCGCGGGAGGGAGATCTTCGTTTCGCCGCTACGCTCTTGGGACATGCGGTCGCGCTGGATCCGACACATGAACTGGCCCGATTGGCTTTGGCTTCCGTGTTCAAGCGCCTCGGTTACGGGGCGGAGAACTCGACGTGGAGGAATTTCTACCTCACCGGGGCGCTGGACCTCCGCCAGGGAGGAGGCGATTCCCAGCGCCACAGTCCGGGGCTGGCGGCTCGGGAGCTAAACCCCCATCAGTCGGTGGAGCAGTGGCTGAGTCTACTCTCCGTCCGACTCCATGGGCCTCGGGCTGCATCGGAGTCCTTGGTCATGGATTTTCACGTGAAAGACATAGGGAGCTGGTGGAGGTTGATTGTGAGCAATGGCGTGTTGACCAGCCGGGTCACTACCGAACAAGCGAAATCAGAGACTGCCGGTTTCACAATGTTTGTCACAAAGCAGCAGCTGGGCGCCGTTCTTAGCGGCAAAGATCTTAAGGAGCTCAACTACGAAGGGGAGCTTCAATTGCTGTCGAGGTTTTTGGATTTGACAGCATAAGAAGGTCATGCAAGTGGGACTATATGGCCAAGATTCAATGGAGATGCTCGGAGTATCTACTGAAAGCTCTTCCGGCGGTGTACACCGTACTTCGTAGGAAGTCATGCAAATCCCGAATTTATGCCGCAAGGGCAAGACCAATACAACAGTGCTGGCCAATAGGCGAGGATCGAATTGTCCCGTGTCTCGACAAGCCCTAAAATGAGATGCAGACGGCATGCAGACGGCCGAGAAGAAAAAATAAGAAAGATACGAGTCGAAAATTGACGACTCGCTAAAAAATTGTTGAGAAAGAAAAAACGTTGAAACTAAAGACTACCAAAAAAAACCTTAAGGCAGAAAACATGAGGCTAAACTCAAAAGGGATTGGGGGCATGCGAGGGCGGTGGAAGAGGATGGCCTTCCATTGCAGGCTTGCAGCCGATCATCATCCCTTACTCCTGGTCTATCTATAGCCGCAAATCTATCACATTTTCAGGGGACAGCCTAGAAGGGCCAATTGATTTCCCCTTTTGCATTGAATTTTCCACGGCTTATCGATAACCCCCGGCTCGAACAAGGAAAGTATCCTTGTTTTCTCGCAGAGTCGTTCAAGAATCTAAGTTTTCTCCAGATCCGATTCCCCTTTGAAACTGTTGGGAATCCGACCTCCACAGTGCACGGGCAAAATCCGTGGGAGGGCCTCGAATTAGACCGGCGGAGCAAACCACGACAGGCCGTTTCTGCGATTTCTTAGTCCCAGAAAGGCATGCAGCCACTCAGGGGGCGCCCAGATATTGACAGTTAGCGTGGATACAGAATCTGACACCGTTCCGTGGTTCCACCGGAGCTTTCTCATACGTGTGGCGAGAGGCCTTCCAGAAGAAGTCAGGAACACGACGCGCCTAATTGGGTCTCCTCAGTGGCCGCTGATCACAGACCCTATTCATTATGGCTTTCCTACAAAAATTTGGAAAGCTACACACGGCTTTTCTTTCGCACAATTCAATTCCCTCTGTGTTTGAAAATTGGTGGGATTCATAGTCTGCAAAGATGACTTTGACCGAATTGCGCAAGAAGGAGCCTATTGTGACGGTGGTGGTATGTTTGACCAAAGTGTAGGCTTTCCAAAAAGAAAAAACAAAAACCATTGACACTTTTCACAGGAAGTCGAAGATGACACCGTCCCCAACCTGAAAGACCTCAAAGATGCTATTCCCAAGGAATGCTTCGACTCCTCGGCCGTCACCTCCCTCCTCTACGTTGCCCGTGACATCCTCTACTGCGCTATCCTGACCTACGCTGCCTTCCACATCTATCTCCTCCCTACATTGGAGCTGCGAATCATTGCCTGGGCTGTCTATGGCTTCTTCCAGGGCTGTGTTGGCACGGGACTGTGGATTTTGGCCCATGAGTGCGGTCATGGCGCTTTCTCCCGCCACCAGAAGCTGAATGACTTCGTTGGATGGGCCCTTCACTCTTTCTTGATGGTGCCTTACTTCTCCTGGAAGATCACCCACGCTCGCCATCACCGCTACACCGGTCACATGGAGAAGGATACCGTCTTCGTGCCCTGGACCGACTCGCAGTTGGCCAAGAAGAAGAACGTGCGCATCGAGCAGTTGAAGCACTTGACTGAGGAGACCCCGATTGTCTCTTTCATCCAGCTCATCGGTCACCAGCTCATGGGCTGGCAGCTGTACCTCTTCCTCAACGTCACCGCTGGCCCGAAGAGTTTGCCCGAGAACCGTCCTCTGAAGGGTATCTCCAGCCACTTCAACCCCTTCGGCCCTATCTTCACTCGCGCTCAGTGGGTCAGCATCGCGCTGTCTGACCTGGGTCTGCTCATCATGGGATCTGTTCTGTACTATGCCTCTACCCAGATCGGAGGCTGGAACGTTGTTCTCCTATACGTGATCCCCTACCTCTGGGTTCACCACTGGCTGAGTGAGTACACCTTATGATGTGTCTGATCAATCCAGCAAACTGACAGTACTAGTTGCCATCACGTACCTCCAGCACACCCACCCTGCCGTCCCTCACTACAGCGCCGAGACCTGGACCTACACCAAGGGCGCTCTGGCCACCATCGACCGCAGCATTGGCTTTATCGGCCGTCACTTCTTCCACGAGATCATTGATTATCACGTTGTCCACCACCTGTTCAGCCGCATTCCCTTCTACCACGCGGAGAGGGCTACCAAGGCCATCCAGCCCATGCTCGGCGCCAACTACCACGAGGAGAAGCAGGAGAGCTTCTTGTACTCTCTCATGACGACTTTCAGAAAGTGCATCTATGTGTCCGACAAAGGAAGTGGCAAGAGCGAGGCGCCGGGTGTCTTCCACTTTGTCCTCGCCAACGAGAAAAAATAGTTCAGAGTCGGATCTGTCTGTTCGAGGATGCGCCTAAATCCTCATCGCGCGTCATGATTCTCCTAGATATACATCTGTATATAGCTAGACTGATAGACTATAGAATGGCATCTGGGAACATTTGCCGAATTTAGAACTCATACTCCACTCTAGCCTCGAGTGGCTTGCTACAACTATTCTCAGTCTATTGTAGTTGATTCCATTTCTGGATTGCACTTCCGCCGTGCGGACGACTAGCAAGGCTACGATAAATTACAATAGGAACACTTCCTTGCTGACTATCTGACTTGACCAGAACCGCAGCTCATTGAGATCCTGGCACTGATTATGCTCTCAAAGCGAGCATTTTGCTGATGCTGGGCGGTGGCTGATTGCCTAGAGCTCCGGGCGGTCAGCTGCCATTTCCCTTGGGAGATGAGACTGAAGCCACCACCCACCGGCAAACTAGGCAGCCCCCTCCAACCCAGAGAAAACATCCATCAGTCTGAGCAAAGGCTCCCACCTGGCATCTTTTTGAATCTCAATCTTGCCCTCGGCAGTCATTACCTTGTACTCATCCGCGACGTGTGTGCCATAGGAGTAACCCTCCTCGTTGTTCACGAAAGCAGCCAGGTCCCGGATCCAAGTATCCAGCAACACTTTCTCCTCCGGGGTCGGGCCGTGCATTATCGAGTAGCTAACTCGGTCAATAAGACGTGACTACATGAGTGCGGGAAAGACTTACTTCCAGATCGGCCTGTCCATCGCATGGCTGACTCCGAACGACGCCGGGGCGACCTTTTCCGTGATGAACGATAGCCGGTAGGCAATCAGATAGCGCCAGACGTTGTCGATACCCACGCCATGGTCCAGCAAATTCTTTACCAGAAACCGTGACGGCGCCCGCACCTGGCCATCGGCGATGAGGTTCCCAAATACCGCCTGCCACTCTTCCTTCTTATCCGTCGGAGGCAGCTCATATTGCCGCAGCAACCTCTCCGTCGTGGCCGGCGAATAATAATTCTCCACCTGCAGCCGGAACGACTCCCGATTGGGGTCCGGGCTGTTCGTCACCGCGTAGAGGGTGTTCTCGTCGCGCACCTCGCCGATGAACAAGCGCAGACTCCGTCTCTTGAACTCGGCCGCGAACGAGCCGTCCCGGAAGTACTCGAAGATCCCCGGTTGGATGAAGACGCCATCCGTGACCGCTCGAAAGGTGTGGTGCTCAAGCTTCATGATGGCGTCGCACAGCACCTTGGCCTCGATCCCGCGCAGGCGCGCCAGCTTCTGCTCGCCGGAGACCTCCGTCCCGATTCCGAAGTACGTGCACACTTCATCGAACTGCGCCTGGCAGTCCTCGGGGGTCTTGGGCTGGGTCGGGATGGCGTTGGAGTACATAACCAGCCGCCGAAAGCAATCCCGCGACCGGGCGTCGATCACGTCCGGCCCGCCGCGGAAGTCAAACAACACCTGCGCTTGCACCGCGTACGCCCCCGCGCTCCGCCCGGACAGGATGAGGTTCTCGGGATCGCCCCCGAAGTGTTCGATGTTCTCATGCACCCACTCGATCGCCAGCCGTTGGTCCCAGAGACCGTAATTCCCGACCTCCCGACCGCCAGATTCCTGGCGCAGGGCGTCCCCGGCCAGGAAGCCGAAGATGTTGAGCCGGTACCCCACCGCGACGAAGACGCAGTTCAGACCGCCTGTGGAGATGAGCTCGGTCGGATCCATGCCGAATTCCTGGCTGGGGTCCCCGACCTGGAACCACCCGCCGTGGAACCAGATCATGACCGGGTACTTCTTGTTCGGGGTTGCGGGGTCGGGCACGGGCGTCCAGATGTTCAGGCGAAGGCAATCTTCGCTGTAGGTGTGCACTGGAACGTGTTCGCTGACAGACTTGGAGTAGTTGGCTTGTGGACAGACGGGGCCGAAGGTCGTGGCGTCGAAGGTCGATGATTCTTGGGCTAATTGCGACAGGGACAAGGGCTGGGGTTTGCGCCAGCGCAGAGGTCCCACTGGTGGTTGGGCGTAGGGGATACCGGTAAATCGTCGAGACTGCGTGCCATTTTGCAGGCCCTTAATTGTCAGCTCGGTGTTCGGGATGGGGAGATGGGTCTCGCTCGTGGTGTAGGAGATGTTGTTGCCCATGGTTGCAGCCGAGACGATGACTCTGAGTCTGGAAACTTCGAGGAGAGGACGTGGTGCCGCAATGGAGAAGGCAATGCATTAATATATCGCATTCGACCCCTCGATTACTGCAATGGTGCTTTCCATGTCGTGATGATATCCCTGCGGGCAGTAATGTCATTGGTTGGATTAGTCGAGCATGGCGCCGTAATCGGATCGGATCCCGGAACTCGATAAGATAAGAGTTCTGTGAGACTTGCACTGGTGCTTTGCAGTAAGTGCAGGGGATGCTCAGGGTGAGACGCCAACAGCGATGGCCCTCCTGTTTCACCTCATGCTTGCATGCATGGTCATCAATGTGAAACCACGGGTTAGGCAACCATGTGTTCCACCAGGAGTCTGCAAAGCTAAATTTAGCCGGCCCAAGTGATGCACACACGTGATGAATTACACCTTGGTGCCTGAGGCGACAAGTCAGACCCTTCTTCCCCCAACTCGGTGAAAAGGAAACGAATACGATTCACGTACAATACTCCTCCCGC